ACCTCACAGCAATAAATTAAATCTCTATGTGCAATTGCAGTTTTAAAAAAATCAGCGCCTCACACAGAAATACTGGACACACAAATGATCTGGATTCATATCAGAACATTAAAATCAGCTCTACTTGTTTTACTTACTAGTGCTCGCCGTCAGAGTGAACGTCCTCACCGAGGCTGCTGTTTGTCTGTGTCACGCCGTGCTTCATTAGCTCGCTACGCTGTATGTTTTCAAATGATAAGGTTCACGATATCAGCTCACTTTCAGTCTGATATCATGCAAATTTCAACACAGGAAACATGAAACTCACATGCACGGTGACAGTGGCCGAACATGTGCAATTTTTTTTTTTAATCTTTTTTTTTTAAGTTATTTATTCTGCCTTTTTGCCTTTATTGTATAAGACAGTCGAGAGAGAGACAGGAAAGTGGGGGAGAAGAATGGGGGAAGGGGTTGCAGCAAAGGGCCACGAGCGGGATTCGAACCCATGATGGTCACTGCGTCTGGGACTATAGCCCCTGTACATGGGACGCCAGCTCAACCAGTTGAGTTATAGCGGCGGCCATGTTGTGCCATTTTATACTTCGCATTTTTCATACCGACCCTTTATCATCCTAATACCAGCTTCAGCTTGGATTTCTGGTCTCTGATTGGCTGAATAAATCCAACAGGTCTGTGGTAAACTATGCCTGTTGTGACTGGCTGAGGTTGTTTTTTTTCCTCCATAAATATCTCATCTAAACAAGACAAACACTGATAATGAAGGTCAAGCAAATCAAGGCAATTTGTTCTTTTGTCACGTAAAAAGTTTGACTGCGATTGCAGATATGTAGAAGTTCCTATTGAGAGCGCACAAAGGCCTAATTCATGTGAGGTCACCCTGAATGCTACACAGGCTGAGAGTGGGAGGCATCCAACTGTTATGCCCTGGAAAAGTGCATAACAGAAACAAAGAGGGGCCAAGTCCTCCAGTCTGTTTAGCCAGTGTACAGTGGAGATCTGTGCAGCGAATGCATTTAAACAAGCTGCTGTGAACAACGGCACTATTATATATATAAGGATAACCAGCGACTCTACATTAAAGATGAAAAGAAAATTAAATACTACAACCGGTTTTATGATGTTCATTATGAGCCGTGAAGAAGTATTCGCTGGTATTTACGGTCAGTGCGTTGGCTTCGGTGTGGTAACAAAGACGACCCATTATTGCCTGTTCCCTGGATGTAAGCCATTTTGTCTGTTTTAGCCCTGTGAGGCAGAAAGCATCCATGAGATAAAACATCTCAGTATTCAAACACACACTAGCTGTTTGGCAGCTTGCAGGGCTTTAATGCTGTCTTCACCTCCTGCTTTATTACATCCAGTGGGCGGATATCTTTGAATGACACCCATTATCTCGTGAACGCTGAGTGGACTTTCTGAGGGCAGCAGGCTGTAGACAAAATTATAGATTTTCCTAAATGAAAACAGCCTTGTGAATACGTTCAAGGAGAAAAACAAAAATCTGCTTTAGTCTACTCGAGGCCTCTGCTATTTCTCCACCTTGACTTTTGTCATTGCGCTTCAGCTCCACATGCCCACATTCTTGGAGTATCTGGGTTCGAGCGGGTCGATCTTGCCATACTTTTTCATGTGTGCGCTCTTATGTGAGCAGCTGTGCCCTTGGACTGCCTGCACATCAAGGAAACAGCTGTGGGGATTCACAATACCTTAACCAATTCCACATTCTGCCCTGAGGAAAGCCAGCCATGTGAGATCATGGTTTAAGGTGTGTCCAATTAGCAGGGCCAGCTCCAAGCAGTGCACCGCGAGGATAGTGGAAGAAATGATGCTGCACGATTGCCAGTGTCATTCAAGTACAATAATTCTGATTACTGCATTAAAAACAGCTTCTCAAGGAGGACTTATTCCAAAAAATACAATTAAAAAAAAGCAAGAAAGACATTTTGCAATGCTGTTAGGACTACCTAATGTTAAATAATGCATGTGTACTCGTGTGCTAGCAACATCTCTGCTTGAAAGCAGCCGGCCCAGTGATTCTGGCAGGATCATTATTTGGATAACAAATGTAGCTTAGCTTTAGGGGTCACATAAAATCTTCACATATGACTGCATTTGAAAAAGTGAGAAGCAGCAGGTTTATTCGCCCCAAATATATCTTAGCCAGAAATAAGACAGAGAACACATGTCTCCCCCCCCACACCCCAGCAGCTTATGGAAGAGTGTGGTTTACTTTTCCAAATAATAGTCAAACCACAGAGAGATTTAGGTAGTATGCTACTCCCCATTGCCAGGGAGTGTGGCTGCGCGCTCACATTACACAATACTGATGAAATACGAATACGAGTCTCACCAGGAGGGTTGTTTTTTTTATCTTAGTAAACTGCATATAATGTGCCTGAATACTATTTTTTGCAAAAACAAAAAGGGGAAATTGCAGCATGCAGGGCAGAGCAAGACTGGAAACTCTGCATAGCTACCATGGAGCACTGCATCGGAAACTATCATACGCTCAAATTCTCCATCTCACCTCTAATTTAAATCTCAAAATCTCAGCAGATCGCCCCCCGAATGCCAAGAGAGTGAGTAGGACTGTAAAAAAGGCTCTGGAAACTCACTCTCCCCCTTTTAATGATTCCAACCGCTGGAATACAAGCAGCTGACATCATCTCCAAGTCCACGAAGCAAAAAAAAAACTGATGGGAAATTCCATCATGTCATATACTCGCAGCGCTTCTTTACTTGCAATTTGCTTCGACTGGTGGACATGACGAATCAGTATTTTGGAGGAGATCGGGTTAAAAGCCACAAGGGAAAGCCATCCTCGGAGCTCGTCACAGGGACAGGGGAGGCTGGGGATGTTTTTGCCTGCAAAATAGTTCCCATGACCTCTGCATATGGTCAAGGCAATTTCTCAGTAAAAACTCAGAGAGCAGGAAATGAGGGGAGTTCAAAGGTTGAGACGTCTGCAACAACTGCGGCTGAAGATGCACAAGAGTGAGAGGAATGCTGGTTGAAAGTTGCAGATGCACGTATGTTTTCAAAGATGGCATTATGCTGGTGGCTGAAATGGATGAGATGGCAGCTGGTTTGTGCGGCTGCCAGTTGTTGTGAGCAGAAGGTGGAGGAATTTGATGTCATATTTGTGCACAATGGGGGGAAAAATGCTGCTATTTTTGCCATTTTTGTTGAATAATTGCTGGATAGATTGATGGAGGTTTGGATCAATTAAAAACACATGATCACTTACAGTAAAAAAAAAATGAAAAAAAGAGCTACTGAGACACTTTTTTATGAAGTTTCTTTTCATTGACTAGTTCCAGCTGATAATCCAAATGACTTGTACTCACCTCAGACCAGAGCTCCGTGGATGGGACTGGGATCCGTGATCGTCCATGACTAAGCTCATCGGTTTACCAAAATCCCTCGGACTAGTCAAACACAAACAACAAGCACAATTCATTTTTAGTCAAACCTTGCATACTAAAAAGGAGCCAGTCTAACCTGCTGCGTTCTGGTGATGCAAAAAAAAAAAAAAGTCAAATCTGGGCGAATCCCACATGAGGTCATCAGGTTTTTTTTTTCTTGTGTTTTTTTTCCCCTCTTCTGTTTTTTTTCTTTACAAATGGAGATGAAAAACTGTTTCCCTCACCATGAATGCAGTCGGTTTTCGAAGCCAACTTCCATCAGTCTTCACAAAGGTAACCTCAGTTGCAATGCGCCGCAAACAGATGTTGTTTGGATAAATGATCCATACCGTCGCTCCGCTGTGCGCCTTTTCTTTCTTTTACGCAGACACATCCATCCAGTGTAGTTTCTCCTCTTCTCTCCTTCCACCTCTGAGCTACATACAGTCACATATATGCATTACTTCCCCGCTGACTCTGAACAACTTTTTTCTCCGCACATCACAGCCGCTGCATCGCGACACTGACTACTTGGGAAAAGTGGGGCGTTCCTCAAGATCCAGTTTACCTTCCCTCCACAGCTCTGATGGGGCCTTTCCGCTTTCTCCAAGTTTACTTCTCGCCCAGAAATAAAAAAAACAAACAAACAAACAAATCCCACAGAGGAGCAACTCAACACAACCATGCCCTGGAAGACAACACGAGCGAATCCATTCATTTAGTGAGAAATAAGCTGTGGGCCATCAAAAGACTGCAGCCTTGTTGTTTTGGATTTCCTTTTAATACATGCAGGATTTGTCTACAGTGACATCATGTGGTTGGATGTGGAAATTTCCCTTTCCACAATAATAATAATAAAAAAAAAAACAGGCTACAAAAAGAAAAGCTAAATAAAAATTCCCCATGTACAATATATGGCTAAAAGTATGTGGACGCCTCAGTATCACAACCAGACATATCTACAAGTCTGGTGTTTGAATATGTGCTGCTCCTGTGGTGAAAGACTTTCCACAAGATTTTGCAATAGTTTGCTCCCATTCAGCCTCAAGAGCGTTACTTCATTCAGACATTTATTATTAGTCCCTGTTGCAATTCATTTCTAAATAGACTCTGAAGTGTCTCCCCACTAAAAACTCATTTATGTGTATCAAAGTTACAAATTTCTACATTTTTCCTGTTATTTTTCCCCGCTGCAGCTCGAGCGCACCATCTCACCGTGTGTTTTTGATGAATTTTTTTTATTTATTTTGATGAAATATCCTCATTTGAAGGCTGAGCTCTGGTAGAGTTTCCCGACAGAACACACGAGCAGTTCAAGGACCTTCGAGAAAGTTGGAAATCTGACAATTTTTTCTGTTTTTACACTTTAAAACTACTCTACCGTACTCAATGGGTAGTGGTAGTATTTGAGTAATTCCATCATATACGCACAAAAGCTAATTCTGAAGATGAGTAATTGTTCATAAATCCCCAATTTGCAAGCTGAGACAACTGTTACATGACCATACAAAAAACACTATATTGGCATGTTAACGAGATCAAAAGCTTGATTTTCACTAACAGGGAGATCAAAACAACTGCATTATGAACTCATGTTGAAGGATGGGCCTTCTATTAACCAAGGAGCCAAAAGCCTCAGACCTCAGGTGGATCAGGGTGTCCACATGCACCTATTTTTGCCATATAATGTAAGTGCTGTTTATATTTTAAAATAAAAAAAAGATGACTGCATTTAAATATTTCATACATGTGTCTTTTAAACAGGTGGTACAGTTCCAGAGATGTTGGCGTCTGCACAGTAGAACATCTCCACACCGTGTGAACAGTCTTGTGGGTAGAGGCCAGTCATGATCAAACCAGTGATCATGACAAACACGCCACTTAAAATCAGCACGATGGGGATGAAGTTTTCACCCTGGAGCCAAGGGCCCGGAGAGAGTTTGAGGAAGCACGCAGATGGGATGATGAAGATCAGAGGTGTGGCACTCAGAACGCCCTGGATGGTAGAAGACAAACCCGGTAAGATGCAGCAAACACTGAATTAGCAAAATGAACACGTGTAGGTAGGACTGGTTGAGTAGGCGTGACTTACATTCAGCTCCAAAACGACTCCCAGACAGTCATAGGCCAAAGATATTGCTGTGCAAACGGCAACTATGAGCACTGTTATGGACACATGCTCCACCCTGGAAAGAGTCCGATTGCAAATAACATTGGACACCACCTGAGAAATTAAACAAGATCAAGCTAATGAATGTATTGAAATGTATGCATTTTCTGAGAAAAGTTTGCCATTGAATTTGGGAGTTGAGAAACGGCAACACACGAGCACACAGGAGGACGGCCCGGCCACGTCTCGAGCTTGAACCCGCAGAATACCACTTTCACCCACATATGTAAACATTTAACTGTAAAATTTTTAGGTTGACCTCAAAAAAGCATTACTTACCTCTCGCGTAACAAAACACTCCAGTGGAAACGTGGTTATTATGCTGAGGCCAAAACAGAAGCGGCCAAATGTTGCCAGGTTATCGTTTCGGCAATAGTTCTCAAATATGTCCCCTGAAAAGTGTAAAAAATGAAGTTAATAGAAATGTACTTAAGAAATCTAGAACACACAAGAGGAATACAGTTAAGTATCATCCAGGACTCTGAGGCGTGCAGGTAAGATTGTGGCCGACCCCTCCCACCCTGGACACAAACTCTTTCAATCACTCTTCTCTCTGGCAGGAGGCTTCGGTCCATCAGGACCAGGACCTCCCGCCACAAGAACAGTTTCTTTCCATCTGCCACCGGTGTCGTGAACAAGGCACAGGAACCCCACTGAGCCCCCTCTATATCTGTATGTAAATGTAAAAACCAATATATCAGCAACCCTCAAACAGTGTTGTAAATTTAACTTTGATTCATTTCACTATTACAGTTACTTTTATTTTACTGTATATTTATTGTGTACTCTTTATTGTTGTTTTGTTGCACCAACCCACCAGAACAAATTCCTCGTATTGTGTGAACTATACCTGGCAATAAATCTGTTTCTGATTCTGATTTGCACTGGTACTTATTAGACATGTTGTACTGATACCTTGCGTGTATCCAGTGAAGGTTGAGTAGCCGGCGACGGCAAACACAGCACTGATGATCAGCGCTGAGCCCACGGAGACGTGGGTAACTCGAGACCAGTTAGCGAGCGTGGGCTGCTCCAGAGAGCCGTAGATAAGAAAGCTGTTGTGGTGGCATATGAAGGCTAAAGAGACACACGGGGGCAGAATATCAGAGTTCAATTAAGAGAAAAAACAAACTATAAAGCAGTTTGAGATGTTTCTCACCTTTGGGATTCAAACTGGTGATTTGTATTTGAACTATTCCTGTCTTAGTTCAGGTAAAATCTAGTAAAATTTACAAATCCAACTGACTGAATAATTATTATTGTTGTATATAATATATGTTATATTGATTTAAAAAAAAAAAAAAAGAAAGGTGAGCTTTTACAGGATTGAATTTCCCTTCTGGGATGAATAAAGTATTTTTTTTCATTTCATTTCGTAAAGCATCTCTGTGTTTTCTCACAAGCACCTCCACCTGAGCGTCCTAGTTAGCAGCAGTGGGAGCTATTTTTTATGAAAGCGAACAACAGACATCTTGTTCGATGCTGTGCTGTGATTTACCCGACACAGCAATATTTAAAAAGGGCGCCGAATGAATAGCTTTGATTAATAGCATTGATCTACTTACAGTAAAGCTGCACTGCATGTCTTCTGCTGAATCGGCAGAACGGTACGTTGAAGTTGTGGGCTTTGGCTCTTAGACAGCCATCACTTTAATGGCCTTTAATTAAAGCAGCATTAATTGATTTTTTTTGCCCCACTTTGAGGCAGAACGACTTTGAAACAAGCTCAGAGATGTTGGACATGCTACCGCCCTGTAAAGCTGACTGACATGTTGGCAAACAAGTGCCTATTGTAGAATCCATTCATTTTCTATCCTCTGAAGGTCGCGGGAGGGCGCTGGAGTCTAACCGAGCTGACTCAGGGTGAAGTCAGCTTACAGGTTGCCGGTCCATCACAGGGCCCGGTAGAAGAATCATGCTCATCCTGTTTGGATCCTGTTTCTGGCCTCCTAATGAATGCCAGTCTATTATTCACAGGTCTTAGCTCATTTGGTCTCCAACAGTGCCTGAAAAAATCCTCAGCCAGCTACATGTTTGACTTTTATTGCCAGTTAATTTGTCTGTTAGGCCTCTGGTGCTAAGCAAGTAGCATACAGTTGGTTTATTAGTGCTTGTTTCCTGAAAACAGCTGCCTGCTGTCATTAAAATATGTTTGGCAGTCTTCTTGGCTTCTTGTATTTTTTTGTCTGCAGTTTTTTTTTGGAAAATATTTATCTCCACCATCAGCATCATGTAGATAAACTCACCAAAAGACATAACACCGACCGCCTGAATAGCATTCCACTTTGCAAATGACCAAGCGTTCTCTGTAGGGGCACTAGAGAGGGACACAGAAATACATGACTTTGTTAGCATAAGTGAGTTAATTGAAGAAAAAAAAAGTCTGCATGTATCGGCAGATAGTTCATTCGTACATTTGGGGTCCGAACGTAGCTGCTCTGATGATTACAATGACGAGGATGGCGAGTGTCAGCACCATAGACAGGAGGGACACCTGGGAACACACATGAATGTTTTACAGGCAGCTTTGAAATCACTGAAGCACATTGATGTCTGTGTCATAATCCGTCTTACCTTCCCGAGTTTTTCAATGTTTCGATAAAGCGAGAGAGGCAATGTGAAGACAACGGTCGATAGCAAGATGACAAAGTGACGCTCTGCAAGTATGTGATCCGGACCAACTGCAAACACAAGACAGGTCAACACACAGCACACACACATATTATTCATTTGCATGTTGTAGATGTATTGCATCTATTTACGGCCGTTACTAAATTGCACATGTGGTTTTGTTTAGCTTTCATTTAAGGCAGAACAAACTAGTGTACCTCCTGGTATTCTCTGAAACACTTTGGTGAGTGTGTCCCCAGTCGTGATGTTGTAGCTGATCATAGCTGAGGGAGAGAAGTGTGGTGAATCAGCAGCATCACTCCAACCGAAACAAAAATCAACAAACAGCAAAAGCTGTAAAATAAATAGAAAGAGTGGCTACTTTGCAGGCCACACAGGAAATGAAACAGATGGCATGATTAAATCCTCAGCTTTGGGTTCAACTACTTCCATCCATCCATCCATTATCTGTACACCGCTTAATCCTCACTAGTGCTGCAGGGGGGCTGGAGTCTATCCCAGCCGACTCAGGGTGAAGGCAGGGGACACCCTGGACAGGTCACCAGTCTATCACAGGGCTACACAGAGAGACAAACAAGTACATTCACACCTACGGACAATTTAGAATCACCAGTTAACCTCAACATGTTTCTGGACTGTGGGAGGAAGCCGGAGAACCCGGAGAGAACCCACGCTGCACGGGGAGAACATGCAAACTCTACGCACAAAGATCCCAGGCGTCCTAACCGAGAAACAAAAACCGAGGATCTTGTAGCTGTGAGGCGATAGTGCTAACCACCGAGCCACCTTGCAGCCCATTACTTTAAATAACTTACCGATGAAAGGATAAAGGAACTGCAGTCCAGACAAAATCAGGAATCCAGGGGAACCAAATGTGCTTTGTACCAGTGACTGATAGCTGCTCGTCCCTGACAGGTTTCCTCCTTTAATTAGTAAGATGATTGAGTAATCTGCCATGACACAACAAAAACCATGATCATTCTGATTATTTGTTCAATTACTTCATAAATTCCCGTTTCCTTTTCTAAAAGTGGCACATCCAGAATACCCACCTGTGATGAATCCAACAACCATGAGAAGGAGGAGGCCAAACGGGAGGCCTGCCTGGTTCAGTGCATATGGTAAACCTGTTGGGAAGAATTTTAGAGGGAAAATCAAACATTTCAAGAAAGCAACAACAATAAAACATAAAAAATAGCAAACAGCCAAGAGAAATTCATGTTAAAAACTAAGATGCTAACTTCCAAAAGCAAAGAAATGTAGTCATACTGAGGTCAGATGCTACAAATACTTCCTGGTTTAACATGACAGGTTTCAGATTTGCAAACAACATGTGATGTAAAACTGCAAACTGTGATATTTTCTACTATTTTTTAGTTGTTCCCAAATATATATATGAACCTCTGACAGTGTATGAATCAGTAACACAGAACCTTCTTAGACAAACTCATGTTCAGGTCAATAAGACTTAAACAGAACAACTGGGTGGACTGTTAAGGATGCTGGTTCTGAACTTTTGTGCAACTCTTTGGTAAACAAATTAATCAGCTGAAGCCATCAGCCGAGCATTGCAAAACTTTTTGTGCGTGTGCTCCAATTTCTAGAAAGTTACACTGTAAGGATTGTTTAGAACAGCATAAGAGCTAAACTGAAGGTAACAATGAAGTGCATTATAAGTGCATGGGAGAAAACAAGTCTTTAGGCCACTAGAGAGCGTGCAGAGTAGCTGTGCTCACAAATATACTCACAGACATTGTTTTGAACCTTCAGGCAGATTAGACAAAAACAAGCTGAAAATTTGTGGTGTGCACATAACTCAGATAGTTTTTTTGAGGCTCAAAGAGTTAAATGGGAGAAGGGGGGGCAACAGGCTGCTGGTCATATGATCCTGCTGCACGACTTGAGCGGCATGAAAGCTTCTCCTTGTTGCACCAAATTTAGCTCCTGAGTGTTTAACTGAATCATGTCAGAATTAAGGAATTTGAAATCAATAGTCATTCAATCGATTTGCGTGTAATATAGTTAATTTAGGTCTTGGACACTGTGATACAAGCAGCTATGAAGTCAATATTCACCTATTATCCCAGATCCTATGATGGAATTGATGAAATTAAAAGATGCAGATATCAGAGAACTTCTTGACTCTCCAGCTGCTTTTTCTGGAGGAATTAATGTGGTCCCTTCTTCACTGTTTAGCTGCAAACAAAACAAAGCAAAACAATAATAATAATAATAAGACAAGCCCTCCAGTCTGTTACTGAAACCCTGCACTGATAACATCCCATTACACCTACCTGCTGAGCCATGCTGGAGCTGCTGCTGGTCCGGTTCCTTTGTTCCTTTTGGTCTCTTCTCACATATCTGCAGTGTGACTGAATTAGGCGAAGTTTGTAGAAGTGTCTGTCAAGTTTGACTCAACTAAAGCCTCTAAAAACGGCTCAACAGCGCCCCTGGTTGGTGGTAGGAGGAAACTGGATGAGAGCTGAGTGCAGAGCAAGCTGAAGGAAATCCAGCATATTCTGAAATAAACACTAACTTTTAAACAAACTTTTATATTTTAACACTGATGTAAATTGAACTTCAACCAGTTTGCACTTCTGCCAAATAGACTGCACTTTAACACTTGATGTCAAAATGTGTATGGAAACATGCATGAATAACGAATTTGGAATTAAAGGATTTATTAAAGGATTACACTGCCTCTGTTAAAAGGCCCCTTTTGTTCAGGTACAGAAAAAGAATAAAGAATTAGAACAGGAGATATGCTGTAGCCTATAGAATGAAAAACAGAATTTTATAATTTGTGAAGTTTCTGTAGTTTTGTTGTTGTTTTTAAACTAAACTTTGCAGAGACAACAGTGACAACCACAAAAAGAATTAAAGAACCCAAACACATCCTTTATTTCCCTACAAATGTGGGTGTATTATTAGACTAATAATCCTAAACACAGATGCCATATTATCTCGTATCAAACATGTATATTTTTTGTTGTTTTAAAGTCTTTTAGTCTGCATATAATATTATTTACGGTCTATCCTTCAATTTCAAGTTGTCACCATCTATTTGCATTTATTTATATTTCATCTTTTCTTGTTTGCTCATGTGCTCAGTGTGTTTTATTATTATACATGGAAACTTTTAAATTAAAACGTTAGAGATATAAACGTGCAGGAAACATTTAGTCTGTGTGTTTTTCCACTCTGGAAACTTTGAGAAGGCCTTTGTTCATTTCTCCTAGAATGCTGTCTGCATCCACCAGAGGGCATCAGACCTAAAGTGTCCAAGTCCTGCTTCATGATAAAGTCATCCAAGCAACTTTGCAAAATAAATAGTTTCATGTGTACCAAAAAAAAAAAAAAAGTGGCTACAGATATATATCGTGTGCTTATCCTGCAGTTTGGTTTGTTTTGTTTTTGTCTTTGGCACTTTGCTTCAGTTGGTGTAATGACTGAACACTTGCTCAGACGTTTAGGCTCCTACAAACTCTGTACCACTAATGACCTCCTCCACACACACAGGAAGAGAGAGAGGTAATTAATTGTTCTTGAACACAATCCGATTCATACTTGCGGCTTTAGCTTTTAGCTTCTGAAGCGCACCAGATTGCAACATCTTCTTCTTCTTCCCGACAATTACGCACCATAACGTCCACCTCAGTGAGATCCGAGCAGCCATTCTGGCATCTCTGCGCTCACTTGGTACCCAGGAACATCCGGAAGCGCAGCAGTACAGTCGTCTGTAACTCTGGCGCACGGAGGGGCGGACGCAGTCTGTCTCTCTGTGGGGTTTTTTTTTTCCTGTTTAAAAATCGTGGAAATGAGCGGTTCTGCGCTGGGAGAAGCGTCAAACATCACAATCGGACTGCCACGTTTATTTTAAACAACACTTTTACGCACAGCGAAGCTCCTCAGCGTCTTTTTCCAGAGTGGTGTTCACCTGTCGAGGATGGAAAACTGATGGTGAGTTGACATGATGGCGAGTTTTGTGTGCTTTTTTTACAATCTGAAATTTACTTTAAAAAGTTTGTTTATTCCTATAAACAGCTGAAGTCTGTGGCTGAGAAAAGTCTTGTAGATTTTAGAATCTGTCTATCTGTGTTCTCTTATCATTATTATTATTCTGGAAAAAGGAACTGCCTCTTTGTGCTTTGGCACTATTATACACTCTTTGTAAATCACATCCACCTTGTTAAATGTTCCCTTTTATCATGGTATAAGTGGTGGAAAACATGAATGGAAAAAAATGTGATTGATCTCTTGTAGCTGATTTGGGCAAAGACTATAAAGTGCAAAATGTGGTCTGCAATATATGACAGAAGTTAATGGGCAGGGCAGCAATTATTAGCCCACACTCCATCTGAGATGACTTCCTGCTCGCCTGACTGTCAACATCATTATTAGATTGCTGTCAATTAGAGATTAAGCTGTCCTGTTTGCCTTCTTATCCAGACTGCACACACACAGTGCAGCCTGCCAGGTTTGGACATAAATACATGAATTTATCTCAGATTGTAACAGCCTCTCGTCATCAGCCGGTTTGCCAACGCCCTGAACGTGGCAGCCTGAGTCCTGGTTCTGTAGGCTGTAAGAGGCAGCAGCGAGCATTAGTTGCGAGCACTTAGGAGCTGTGAGTGTGTTGGTCCCTCAGGAGCTCACAGATACTGAACTGGTAGCACTCTCTATTCAGGTATGTTTAGGCTGAAGGAAGACGATTACTTGGATTTTACTCATGAATAAAAGTCGTCACTCCAGTCACCTTTGCTACAGTTCTGCAGCTCACCTCTAGATGGGCAGCAGAGCAGGTAATGGCTGACTAAATGTAAGTTGTGTTATTTAGTGCCGTTGTAGAACACCAGCAGTCTTTAAATAAACTGTGAAACTCACAAAACACAACCGCAAGATGAGCAGCTAAACTTTTCAATACATTAGTTTTGTCTGAAATCAGTTCACACAAGCCCTTTAGTACAATAACACATAATGAGCCACTGCAGATATTCCTTCCCGTCATACTGGCCTTTACTTATGCAGTTTCCATGGAAGTAATTGGAGACAAAATACGAAGTCCTTATTCTGTGTAATTTGCGTTTTCTACAGTGAAACAACTTTTTCAGTACAAAATGTACAATATGTTCCCCCATCCCAAAACCTCCTGTCAGTCCTGTCGCACTGATTTTCAATATAGTGAATTTGAAAATGCAGCTGTACCGGCTCTCTTGATCTAGTATTTTACATGTCCTCTGTAAAAAATGTGTCTTTATTTTATCATGAAGGCTGCTCTCAGATATCGATTTAAAAATGTGGAAATTCTGAAGGCAGAGGCGGCGATCGCACTGTATCATGTCCTGCTTTAGTTCATGTTTTTAGATTGTGGTTTAGTGTTTAATGTCAGTGGAAATGTGGCTATTTTAAGTCTGTCAAAATATTACCGGATGCACCTCACCTGACAAAGAGTCCACTTTTCTTTGAAAGCCTAGAAGCAATTAGACAGCAGTCTGTCACAAAGCATCACTTACCTCATTTAAGGAGAAGCATTCTGAGGTCAATGAAATTAAGTTTCGAAATGAGTGATGTACATTAAATATTGAAGCTGAGCTTCCGTTTGACGCCGTATAAGTGTTTAATATACTTGTTGGTGGATCATGTTGCCTGAAGCTAAGGTCAGTCATCACTCACAGCTCATCATTTGTCAAATGTATGGAGCATAACACAAACGCTCAACTCATTTGCTGGCGTCCTGTTCCAGTGAAAGTCGGTGGGAACAACGTGAAGGTTCGTCCGCACAAGGTTATGATGCAGACAGGTTGCAGATAAATTGAAGTGGGCCTATTTGAAGCTTCAAAGTGGCACCTCGTATCTAAGCTGTTTGTAATGAGTTGGGAACAGATTGACAGAGTGATGCATACCTCTGTAGAGGTGACCCACTGCAAGCTGACCTTGTTGGGTGGCCATCACATTAAGGTTTGTTGCATTTAAGTTTGCAGACAGTTTGGTTGGTTTGTCTTATGGTTGTTTCCCAATTGTTTAGTTGTGTATTCCTCTATATGGTATACTCTGTGTTTATTCTACAATCATATTTTGAACAATACCAAAATGAACTATATTGAAAATGTGCACCTACCTGCTGTGTTTTATCTTTTGTGTCTCTACTCAGTTGTGAGTAGAGACTCAATACTCAGTCTCTATTGTTGCCACAAAGACATCTGACAATGTAAAAGCCCTTCGGTGTTTCAACCACAGCAGATATGAAAATCACTCACAGAGACATGCGACGTATTAAAACTCAAAGCTTCTTTCTCATAGTTGAGTCTCCATTTGTCGTTGCAATTACATCACACATGTAAAACTCAGTGCTCGGGACAGTTGATTGACCAACGCGTTTGTGATTGATCGCTTGCGTGCGATTGATCGCAGCACAACGTGTGGAAGTATTCTATTACACTGTTGCATTCAGATCAGGCAGAAACTCTCTGTGGCAGGAAACCCAGAGCGATGCAGTGGAGTCTGTAGCGCATTCATATTTAATACTGCATAGGTCTTCCTAACACATCATACCAGTCAGGCCTATTAGTAGGATGGATCTTTTCCTCCCTCTGCACTATCTCGGGCTCTGAGGGCAGAGCAGACTCTTTCCATTTTGAGGGATGGCAGAGGGCCGCAAGAATCTCACCTGGAATTGATCATTGTCATGTCAGATCTTAATTCTATCTACAGACGAGCAGATAATTAGATCTAATTTTACCATAGCTGGAAGGAATTTATGTGCATGACAGCCATCTGTAGGCTCATTATAGCTTGCCGCTTCCTGAAATGATGATCTCTGACCAAAGAGCAGAAACAAACCCACCTTCTTGTCCTTTCTATTTAAGGCAGTTTAACTAGTTTCTCAGGAAAAGTTTGTTGTCTGGAATACAGATGACGAGCCAGGGTAATCATTAAAACTTCAGCGTAATAATGTCAGAACTAGACAGTCTCTACAACCTCTCGTCTGTTGTGACCCCTCAGGCCTTCCTCATGTTGGAGGCTAGCTGTTCACTCTGAAGGTGCAGGATGAAAAGATGGAACAGCTGCTTGTGCCACCAGGTCCAGACAGCTTCCGCCGCTTCAGTCGTGAATCCCTCAAAGCCATCGAGAGACGGATTGCCGAGGAGAAGGCCAAGAAGCCCAAGGGAGAAAAGAGAAAACGCAACGATGAGAACGAGCTCAAACCCAGCCGTGACCTGGAGGCGGGCAAATCACTCCCTCTCCTGTACGGCGACACTCCTGCAGGCATGGTGTCGACACCGCTGGAGGACCTGGATCCCTACTACCACAATCAGAAAGTAGGTTTGCTTGATTTGAAACTCAAGTCAAGAGAATCAGGAATTTGAGTTTTGTCTTATACATCGCATTATTTCTGATTTCCTCAAGAGGCTGGAGGAGAGTAGAAGTGCTATGAGGAGGCTCTCATTTAAAACTGCTTGCAGCTTTTTACCGTGGCGGCGTTGTCGTCTAGTCAGAGGCCCTAAATTTTAGATGACAGGAAGACAAGGCCGGTGAAAAGGATTTTTATGAGGTTTATTAGCAGCGTACAAGTGCGATTGGTGATTTGTGCTGTGAAACATGTGCTGTAAATAACAGGGCTAAATGACTCTTTGATAAGGCGCTGTTAATAATCACACGATATCTCGTTTTCTCTCAGACTTTCATAGTAATAAACAAAGGGAAGTTCATTTTTCGCTTCAATGCCGCTCCTGCCTTGTACCTCCTGAGCCCCTTCAACCCTCTTAGAAGAATATCAATTTGGATTCTGGTACACTCATATCCTTTCTGTAAGATGTTCGTCTCACAAGCATAACTGATGTTTATGTTGCTGACATTAGTTCAGGAAGATCTGTTTGTGTTTCTGCTTTGGTTGAGATGTGGTCGGTTATACTAAAAATAAAGGTGTTAATTCTACACTAACATTCCTTGACAAGTGCCTGCAAATTGTTCAGCATGGTGATCATGTGCACTATCCTCACCAACTGTGCATTTATGACACTGAGTCGACCGCCTGACTGGGCAAAGAATGTAGAGTAAGTTCTCCACAGGTTGCACATCGAATAACACACTTTATCACTAAGATGCTGTGCAGCATATAATACGTTTCTCTTTTTTTTTCCAACAGGTACACATTTACTGCAATCTATACCTTTGAATCCCTCGTTAAAATTCTAGCTCGGGGCTTCTGTATAGGTAAATTCACATTTCTAAGAGACCCCTGGAACTGGCTGGATTTCTGCGTCATTGTCATGGCGTAAGTACAACGAATTATAGTAAAACCCGAGCAGTTGCTTAATATTTTCTGCAAAGGTTCCTTAGAATAGAACCTGCTTGAAGGAGCAAAAGAAAACAGCCAAGAGGTTTGAGTTTTACCGGTTTCATTAACAATGAAGTTTTGTTGCAATGCACTAAATCAAAGTCTTTTACTACAATAATGTGAGTCTGTGTTTTTCAATCAAAAATCCCAAACCAGGAGTGATTCTATTCTATTCTATTTTATTTACAGCAGACAGTATTTACAACATTGTAAGTTTACATACACTGTATAAAAAGACACATAACTTCTTTTTTTTCTCTCAATATCTGACATTAAATGTGACTAAACTTTTCCTGTTTCTGGTCAGTTAGGATTACCATTTTTTTCTATTTGACAACTGACCTAAAACAGATAAAAGTTAAGTCTGATTTAATGTCAGACAGTGAGATATTTTTATACAGTGAATGTGTATGTGTAGTAGTGATAAAGAAACATGCCAGTTAGTCTAACAATGTTGCTCAGTGTAGTTTTAGTACAGAAATTAGGTTACTTCAGGCTTTTGGTGTTTTTATTGGATTTGTGATAATACAGACCCTCACTACTGTAAACGCCTCCCTCCTTAATTATTATTTGCCAGATACTGTGTGCACTAAAATGGATAAATGTGGTTTGCTTCAGTCTACGCCACATGTCATTATTCTAAAAGAGCTCTCCTCTTTCCTGCAGGTACGTCACAGAGTTTGTACCCCTCGGCAATTTATCAGCTCTTCGCACATTCAGAGTGCTGAGAGCTTTCAAAGCAATTTCAGTCATCCCGGGTAAGGAAGTGGTGCATGCTACTCCCAAACATTCCTTCTTCCGATTACCTGACCTCCTGAAACCCTGAGCCCATCTGTTTACCTCACTATCACAGATACAGTATGTCATGGAGTATTATGGACATTATAGACAAAACCAGAAATCTTAAGACACAACATTTGATTCTCTTGACTGTCTTCTCTTTCAATGGGAACTTGTGGATTTTGTTGTTGTAGTGAGATCTGTGTCATTTGCTTTTGTCTGCTCAGCACCCTGCTACTTATTTTCTGAATGGTTTGTTTTGTTGCTCCTTGCTTCCCTTTCAACATGTGGTGAGGGTGTGTCCTGTTGTTGTTGTTGCATGCACATCATCACAGGTATGGGTGAGCCTAATTCCTTGTGCTACCTTCTAGAACAAAATGTTATCAGAAGTGAGTGGTTTATGAGACTTCAGACATTTTAGCTTTCCTAGTGTTAGACGGCAGCAAAAACTGAAATACGAAGGCGAGTGGCTCTGTTGTTTTCTGTAGCTGCAGTCGAGCTCATCAAAGTGTGTTTGTATGTCCTGGAGAGTACTATTACATATGTGGAAAAAAGGCCTTGTGTAGCTCCAGATGGAGCCACAAAGGATAACATGACCACAACCTGCCAGGTGGTCAAGTTAATGTATGCACCTGGTTCTGACATGAAAGAGAAATGCATCCAACTAAAAGGACATCTCCTGTTCTTATGCATTGATTTTAATCCCTTTTAACTGAAAGCGTGCTTTGTGATTCACACAATGTTACAGGAGGGCAGTGATAAATTCAGTGGACTTCTATTACTAGTATTACAGACAACACTCACTGGTTTGCACAGGCATAGAGCTTATGCGTTAGTTCAGACAGGTATGGAGTCAGGGCGTCACTAGGCCCTTTCGTTCATCGCTTAAGTCCAGTCTACCCACTTAACGTACTTTCTAACATGCTCAGCACATCGCTGCTACACCAGCCTCTGCAGGTTGACACATCTCCCCCTCCTCCCCAACCACCTCCCTTTTAAAAACAGTTGTATTTCATAACCATCTATTAAATAACCAATCATTCTCACCCAAATGGTCGAGGCAGATGGCCGCCTTTCCTGAGCCTGGTTCTGCTGGAGGTTTTTTTCCCCTCCCTTGGGGGGCTTGTTTGGTTCCTTCCCACCGTTGCCAACCGCTTGCTTAGAGGGAGCCCAAAGGCAACTTTGGATTGTTGGGTTCTCTGTTTAAATTTGTAACCTTACCATGTTAAGCGCTGTGTGATGACATATGTTGTAAACTGGGCTGTACAAATAAAATGGAATTGAAGAAGCCCGGTTGTTTCCCATATCGTGGGACTGTAGGATGCAGATTGTTCATTATTGTACGTTAGATCTGTGTAATCTTGATTTTGTGAAGTGAGGACCATTTAGTTGGTCTCCTTGTTCTTGTGTTTATACTGTATTTATTTGACTATTGTGGGGTTTGTGATCTCTGGGACTATCTGCGTCAGGCTTGCTCAGACTGTTCCAGAGCATCACTCAAGCTGCAGAGTCACCGCCAAACTCAAATGCATGTGATCCCAAATAAATGTGTAAATCTGACAAAGTGTCCCGTCTGCACTGCTGTTAATTATCACCTCACTGCCTCCGTTTGTTGTCTTGACAGGACTGAAGACCATCGTCGGTGCGTTGTTCCAGTCAGTGAAGAAGCTGGCAGACGTAATGATCCTCACCGTGTTCTGCTTGAGCGTCTTTGCCCTGGTGGGGTTACAGCTGTTTATGGGTAATTTAACGCAAAAGTGCATATGGTTTTCAAAGAACGACACCAACTTTTCGCACGAGGAGTGGCTTGCACATGTTGAAAAAAAGGGTGAGTATTTTACCGTCCACTGGTCAGCTTTGAGCTAGTGCTTGAGAAAAAAACAAAAACAAAGATTTTGTACGAGACAATTGAAAAGTTTCTAAATGATTATATCCTGTATCTACACACTTGAGATTGTACAACTTCTTAATTCTTCATTTTTCTTTTATATACCACGTTATGGGAATATTGTATACAACTCAGTTTCCTGCAGTCACCTACAGCAGCTCTGCTTTCGTCCACACCTCAAGCATTTGGACGGATACACATTTATCGTCATCTTGCTCTGTGCTTCATTACATCCAGTTTAAGGAGATAATAGGAGCTAAACCAATGTGGCATGTCACAGGCGCAATTTGATTAGATATACATTTACTCATTCATTTTGAGCTGTGTGGTGGAGATAGCTTTTTTTAAACCGGCAGGTAATAGGACAGATACAGTCTTCAACCCAAGTGCTGCAGCAAAATCTTTGTATATGTCATGGGAATGTTCTCTCAGGCCCTCGCTGCAGCCACCTTTAGCTTTAGCTTGTCATGGGATCTCTCTTCCTGGTTTTCTGTGCAAGTGGAATGCAGCTCATTGAGATCAGGTGACTGACTCTGAGGATATTCCTCAACTGGAAAAATCCCTTTGGTGGCTTTGTTTAAGATTGTTCTCAAGTCATCCAGTGATTTCTGATGCATTCGGAGGAACATTAGACACAGAATGCTACTCTATGCTTTGGCAATCATCTGGTTCCTTCTGTCAATAAATGCCAGTCTGCTGATTCTATCGGCATTCATACATGACCAACCCTTAACTGAAGTAAACTACCTGTCATATGTCTATTAAAAAAAAGGGGTTCTTTTAAACCTCATAATAATTCTCCTTACTTGCATAGTCACTTCTTTCCTGTAAAACAGTTCCACCGAAATCTGAAAAGCAACTCTGTGTGGCATCCTTAGTGCATGAAAGCACTGTACGCATACCAATCTGTCAATGTTGAGGTAAATGACCTCAAACTAAAGCAGGGACTTGACACTCTAGTGACATGTCCATCATTTTTATTTAAAATTTAATGTCCTGAAGCACAGAGCCTGGAGAACACAATATAAAATATTAAGAAGTGTCCAAATATTGACGGGCTGGACTGTATCCTGTACATGAGGCTTTTAAAATGACTGACACCTCTTAGAACAAGCCTGACAAAGAGAGGATGCATTGCCATGCTCTTGTCCATTATGTCGTAGAGCTGTACCTAAAATAAAAGTAAAATCATAATTTTTGTAATTCAATGTCTGTTTCAGGCTTTTAAGCAACCGCTGCCGACAGCCACAGTCACAGAGAGTAACGTTTTGTATTTTCCTTCTCTTCCCATCAGAGAACCATTATTACCTTAAAGACAGACGAGATCCGTTGCTTTGTGGAAACGCCAGTGAAGCTGGGTAAGCAGGTTACCTGCCAGCTGCTGGAGGACTACATACAATATAGAACGAATGCATTCTCTGCATTGTTTATACATTAACAATACACTGGATTATACATTATAGTGCGTTATTCTGAGCTGCTCAACAGACTCTTTGTTTCTTGCAGGCAGTGTCCAGAGGGCTTCATTTGCATCAAAGTAGGAAGGAATCCAGACTATGGTTACACCAGCTTTGACTCATTCGGTTGGGCCTTCCTTTCCCTGTTTAGGCTGATGACACAGGATTACTGGGAAAACCTTTACCAGCAGGTAGGCAGGGGAAAAAGGGACACCGTAACACATACAGTGTGTGCATATACAGTCCCAGTAAGACATGTTTTTGTGAAGATTCAGTGTGTTTAATCTTTATGTGATTTTTAGGGTTTGGTCAGTTTATCAGTTTTTTACAATTTCTTGTTCTTCAAATGTTTTCATATTTAAAGATATTAGGGTGTGTTGTTAGACTGACAAGAAATGAGCGCACCAGTAATGATCTCTAATATACCGATGCTCAGTTTTCAAAATGTTGTTTTTGTGTTTCAAAAAACGAAATAGCTGGTGGGTGCCGCTATAGCTCACCTGGTTGAGCTGGCGTCCCATGTGCAGGGCTACAGTCCCAATGGGGAGGTCATGAGTTTGAATCCCGCTCATGACCCTTTCTCACATGTCCTCCCCCCATTCTTCTCCCCTACTTTCCTGTCTCTCTCTCTCACTAACACTACCCAGTAAAGGCACAAAGGCCAAAAAAATAACTTAAAAAAAACCCAAAATAGCTAAAGTGTGGAATCTGGGGAAATCTACAGGCCAAAGGTGCCTTTAAACTTAAAAACAAAAGTATGTTCCACTAAATGGAAACAAGTAGAAATCTCTCCACTGGATTTAAATCGTTTCTTATTTAAATCTAATTGAGAGATTCCCACCCAGTGTTTAAAGGCACCCATACGGGGCTTTTAGTGCACAAAAGTACTTACTGAGCAGGATTAATGAATTTTCCAGTGCTATATATACATATACATTTTGTCAATTTAAAGATCCCTCACATCTTTAATTAAAGGACTAAGTGGTGTGACAGTGACAAGCAACCCCTACAGGGCTGAGGCTGAAATGCTGGAAAGCAAAGTACCGAGGCCTGCTGCTGTTGTGGTAAATAAATTAATAAAACCCTGCTGGTGCTTTAGTCCAGATTTCCTGTGTTGTTCCTACTTAAGCTTAAGTGCCTTTATGGCTCTTCCTCGGTTCCTCTGGTTAGTCAGGGACCCTGAAAGAAGATAAAGTTTGGTCGCAGGTTGATGAAATGTTTGACCTCATATGTGGTTCAGGATGCTGTGTTTAGGATCGTTGCTGCTCTAAGTACAGAAAGAGGCCGTGTTAAAGACATACGAGCATTCTTCCAACACAATATTAGTACCAAAGATAAATCAAGCGTTGTGTTTAAACAAACCTCTGAATGCAGCGCAGGTGCATCTTCGTCACAGGAAAAAAAAAAGATGAGTCTCACTGTGTCTCTGGCAAACATGGGTTGAAAGGCAGTAACAAGACAAATAGGTGTTCAGTGAATAGGCATCTGCTTGACATTGTAGTATCAACAAGTAAAGCAAACAGAAATGCAACAAAGCTCCCATGAGCAAATCTCTCTAGTGCTGTGTGTAATTAGGTGGCAGTACCATGACTATCAACAGGAGCTCTTTTATGTCCAAGTAGTTATCCTTTTCTTCTTTTTGCTGTGCGAGGTAACTTTATTCAAAGTCAGACATGACAGTACATAAAAGTAAACAGTAACTCCCGTCTCTTAGAGCAGAAAATGACAGTTGCTGAATGGTGACCATATCAAAAACAGGAAATGGAGACACTCAGCCAATTATATACAGTCGTCCTCAGATGTGTTCATACCCTTCCAATAAAGAAAAGGAAAAATTCACAATAGTCACTCAAATAACTAGAAACTGAAAAAGGTAATAATAAATAAAAATGTGCTAAATTATGATTAGGTGAAATAAGACATTGCTTTTGAATTGTGGTTGAAAATAATAATTTTTAAAAAACTAACAAAATTGTCTGGGACAAATTAGAGCACGTTGCTGATGAGCAGTGAAATCTAAATCCTTGTCAACAGGTACAGAAGTCTGATGGAGAGTTACAGAAAACACCTGACTGCAGTGATTGGCTCAAAGGGTTGTTCAACAAAATATTAGTCCCATCATGCTTGTTTACTTGTTGTTGTTGTTGTTGTTGTTGTTTTTAATATTTTTGTTGAACCACAATTCAAAAGCGATGTCATGATTTTCAATACATTTTTATTCATTATTACTTTTGTCAATTTCAACGTATTTCAGTGACTGAAGCGGTTTTTTCCTTCTTCAATGTGAGGGTATGAATACATTTGAGGACGACTGTAAATTCTGCTAAAGCGTAATCATGTGCTCAACTTACTCCATAGCACAAGGCAGACAGTTTACCAAATGGTTTACAGGAAGGCAGAGATATCCATCCATCCATTACTGTACACCGCTTAATCCCCACTAGGGTGGCAGAGATACAGGAAAAGTAAAAAATACTTATTAAGCATTCCACAATCCTGCTTATTTTCCTTCCAGACTCTGCGAGCAGCCGGGAAGCCCTACATGATCTTTTTTGTGCTGGTGATTTTCCTGGGCTCCTTCTACCTGGTCAACCTGATCTTGGCTGTAGTGGCGATGGCCTATGAGGAGCAGAGCCAGGCCACCATAAAGGAGGAGAAGGAGAAGGAGGAGGAGTTCCAGGCCATGCTCGAGCAGCTGAGACGGCAGCAAGAGGACGCTCAGGTACACTGGCTCTGACGAGGACAGATTCCAAATAGCATTAGGATGCATCTTCTTTACAGTACTAGAAATTCTTTTTTTAAATAGACCCTTTCATAAAGAATATACTTTTTACAAAACATAAGACCAAGAAGACTGAACTCAGGATGTCAAATATTTGTATAGTTGTTTAATTTAGTTTCCATGCCCACCAGGATCAAGGTAGTTTATATAATGGAAGAAAAAGCAAACCAGTGACACAGTATACACACAACTGTATACATGATCTACGCTGTATCTCACTGTATACATGACATACATGATCTTCTACAACAAATGAAAACATTTGCTGGATCGTTCTATGCTGATATCTTAGCAGCAATTACTGTTGCTGAAGAAAAATGTTCCTTCTGCAACCTGATTTCCTCCACAAGGCATGATTATGAATGTGAATCCTGTATCCTGGAAACTCTAAGCTCTGTTTGTGACCATAAAACATATTTAAAATGGGCAGTCAGGATGGCTGGTGGTGTTCTGGAAAATTACTAAATCACTTATTGCCTTGTCTGATAGCGGATATATGACAGAAACTATATTTCAGAAGCAAACAAGATATTAATTAAATATCTTGTTTAAATAAATTTTGGGCAGCTGTGGCTCAGGTGGTAGAGCGAGTCGGTCGATGATTGGAAGGTCGGCGGTTCGATTCCGCCCTGTAACCTGTTTCATGGCCGTTGTGTCCTTTGGCAAGACACTTCACCCACCTTGCCTCGTGTGAATGCGTATGAATGGATTGTTTGAGGTGGTGGTTGGAGGGGCTGTAGAGCCACGCCTCTGTCAGTCTGCCCCAGGGCAGCTGTGGCTACAATCATAGCTACCACCACCAGAATGAATGTGTGTGAATGAATAATTGACAGTGTAAAGCGTCTTTGAGTGTCTAGAAAAGCGCTATATAAATCTGATCAATTATTATTATTAAAAGATGTAATCTTTCTCTGTGTGTTCCATGTTATTTACTTTAAAATTAAGTTCTTTGATCTTCACTTATAACGGCAAAGTTCTGTTTAGGTTCATACTAAACCAGGACTTTGAAACATTTCTAAAATAGTACCTGAACTCTTTCATTCAGATCGACACTCCCTCCTGCTCAGTACGCTCGACCAACAACAACTGCCTGATACAACCACCACAACAGGCCCAAGGTCAATAGCTAGACTCTTCTCCTCTGTGGTTCCGGTGGTGGAACAAGTTACCAAACTCTGTTCAATCTGCTGACTCCCTCTCAGTCTTTAAGAAAAGACTAAAGACCCAGCTCTTCACTGAACATCTTCGCACTTGACAGACTAAAAACAAGCAAACAAACAAAAAGTCCTATGACCTCCCACACAGCCTGCTATTGGCATCAACGCCCTATCACACTAGAATTTGTTCTATGGCATTTATCTAGATTGTTTTCTCCTGACTAGATCCTTGCTTGTGTTGTATCTGCTCTCAGATGGATAAAAGCATCTCCTAAATGAATCGCAGTGCATCTGTTCACTACCATTGTCCTCTCTTTTTCCTCTTCCAGGCAGCAGCAACTGCAGCAGAGGGAGGAGAGGCCAGTGACAAAGGTGGCGGCACTGAGAGTTCCTCCGACGCATCCAAGCTGAGCTCCAAAAGTGCCAAAGAGAGACGCAACAGGCGACGGAAAAGAAAGGAGGAGGAGGGCAAAGGGACTGACTTGAAGCTTCCTAAATCTGAGTCACAGGACAGCATTAAGAGGGCTCGCTGCCGCTTCTCTGTCGACGCAAACCTGCTCAACTACGACATGAAATGCTCACCCGCACATCAGGTATGGTACCGTCTGTCAGTGTGATTAGCAAATGTAAGTGATGTTTTGCTCCCTATTCCTCTTGCTTTTATCTCCTTTCTCAATTATAAAGCCCTTTTAAAGCAGCCCCTTATTTCTTTGTCTGCATCTTCATTATAGTAATTGCGAACCAGTCAGGAATGATATAACTACATTTTTTCAACCTAAATTCAGTGTGTTCTTTTACAATTCAGACCAAATTACACTGTACTCAGTGTAGAAATGTCTTTTATATTACAACTTCTGCTCTTTTTTTAGTGCACATGTACAAATGGTGAGTCATTATTAAGTCTGTGAGACAGTAGCAATCCTAAAACTTCATTTCAGTGGCCAAAGAATGTAAAAAAACCATCTGAATATTAACGATTTTAAAACGGAGAAATCAAAGCTCCAGTCTGTCATGACGCTTCTTTAATGTGAATTGCAGATAGCACTTGTGAAGCTTTGTGTAGCCTTTTTTTTTCAAGCGGAAGACTCACTGGCTCAGAGTGAATGACAGGCATAAGAAGCAAATGGACTGATAATGTGATTACTAAGCTTTAACTTACATTACAGGTGTTTGAATGGCAGATGGCAATTGTTGAACTTTAGAGCCTCCAGTACAGTATATGGTTCACTATTCAGTGCATATGTGCTTAACTCTCCTCAGCATTCATGAGCTGCTAACAAATTTGTCATCGCTTTCATGTCCTGCCATTGTTTTTTTTCACTGTGTATTGTCATCGGTGTCATCATCATCATCATCATCATCATCATCATCATCATCATCATCATCATCATCATCATCTCCTTTCTCTTGTCTTCATCAACTTCTTATGTTCTTGTCGTTGTCAGCCGCCATCAAGATGCATTTTTAATTGTGCGATTTCCTTCTCACAATGCTTATCGTCTTCCTGACCATCATCACCACCACCACCATCTTCTTCATCATCCCGATCATTATCGTGATCATCATCATCGTTACCATTCTCATTCATCACCAGTGTGTAGCTTCATTTTTTTTTCACTCTAGTCTCGACGTCATGCTTACATCTTTTTTTTTTGTCTTTTTTATGTTTTGTCTGCACATGTGAGGATCATTGTCATCGCCATTCTTTCCACTTTACGATCAGCATGAATCATGTATCCATTGGAGAATATCTTTCTCTCCTAGTCCTTTCTGAGTTTTCGTGGACCCCTGTTCTCACCCAGACGGAACAGCAAGACCAGCCTTTTCAGTTTCCGAAGCCAAGCGCAGGACATGGGTTCGGAAAATGAGTTCGCCGACGACGAGAACAGCATTTTTGAGGACAACCTGAGTCGGAGGGGCTCTTTGTTTTTCCCCCAGAGGTGCGACCGACGCAGCAGCAGCATGAGCCAGTGCATCTTCTTGCCACATCTTCGACGTCAGCCCAATGGGATCAGGCACAGCTCTGTAGACTGCAATGGGGTTGTGTCTCTGGTGGGTGAGAACTCACTGCCATCATCACCGGTGGGGCTCCTTCTGCCTAAAGTGACTGTAGATATGGCCTCTACTGGAGACAATGTAAGAAAGGGTTGTCTACGTCAGATGGCCCTATTTCATCTGCATATTTCTCTAATGTAGCCTTGGCTCTGTTTCTGCTTCTTTCCTTTTTATTTATTCATTTATTTATTTATTTGCCTTTTTTTATGTCTTGCACAAATTGCTGATCGTTTTTTAAAGTATTGTAACAGACAGCCGTTCAGTTGGCTAAAGATATTTATCAAATTCATACTTCACAAACTCAGGCGCCTTTTGACTCACTGTTGATAATTGTCAGGAATGTCAAACATTATGGTCTTATCATTACATCTTTTTGTTATCAGTTGTCATTTGCAAGCATAATTGCAGCTCCAGACCAAAAACCCTGTAATGGGCCACAAAGCGCTTTACTGTAGGAGTTCTTATTGGAGACAGTCTGGTATAGAAATTTGCAGCCTTCTACAGCACAGCATCCTCTGCTTGTTATTTTAATTTACTTTTCGTGAAATGTAATATCAACACAAAACTCTCGATACCTTTATTTGTAGCTCCTGTTTCTGCATGGTGACATAAAACCTATTTTCTGTCATGCAGCTGCATCTTTAACAATGATTGTCATCTCCAGGCTGACACTACTGACACAGAGTACCGACCTGCCACTGGGGGGACATACCAGGAGTTTTTGGACCCATTCGAGGGCCCAGAGGCCAGGCAGAGAGCTCATAGTATAGCCAGTGTTATTACCAGCACAATGGAGGGTAAGTGTTCGATAGCATGGCATAAATATCCAATCTTGATTATATTTTTAATATTGGGAAAAAAATAACCAAAAAACAGTACTTTTAAATACATATTTTGTTTGTTTGTGGTCAGAGCTTGAAGAGTCGAGACAAAAGTGTCCTCCTTGCTGGTACGATTTTGCTCAAACCTTCCTCATCTGGGAATGCTGTCCAACATGGATGAAAATCAAGAAAGTGGTTAAGCTGATTGTGATGGACCCATTCACAGACCTAAGCATCACCATCTGTATTGTGCTCAACACTTTGTTTATGGCTATGGAGCACTATCCAATGTCCACTGGATTCAACAATATGTTGACTGTGGGCAATGCGGTACGTTGACTGTACAGTTCTTAAAATGTTTCCGCAGAATATTTAGCATTTTTATCAATGGAAAGTGTTATTTATGTATTTATTGTGTGTGTGTGTGTGTGTGTGAAGGTATTCACTGCCATCTTCACGGCTGAAATGGTCCTCAAGATCATTGCTTTGGACCCATACTATTACTTTCAGGAGGGATGGAATATTTTCGATGGAATCATTGTCAGTCTAAGCTTGATGGAGCTTTCTTTGGCAGATGTGGTTGGCATGTCTGTTCTGAGATCATTCAGATTGGTAAGTTCTAGGATACATAAAGAGTGGCAAGAAAACGCTAGTAAACCATATGGCATTATCGGCATTTACGTAGAAATGAAGAGTTTAAAAAAACAGATAACTCCATGTTCACGTTTCCATCGTCTACCTGAGATAATATCAATCAAACTAAAGTTGTCTCTACTTTTGTCATTTCTACTGAGTCAAATCCACTCAGCTTCAGTTTGATTGATATTATCTCAAGCAAACAACAACAAAAAAAAGTTTTCTGAAAATCCACAGAAATTGAGTTATCTGTTTTTGCAAATGGACTCTTCAAATATCGTTATGAACCGACAGAATCTACTTGAAGTAATAGCACACAATACATCGTCTTGCTTTGTCCGTACGAAATATGTGAGATTTAGGTTGGAAACAGTATGTGAACCCTGAAAATAAAGACAACAAAAGTTAACTGCTGCCAAGGGTTAGTAAGCCTGGAGTCCAGTCAATAAAAGAAGACTGAAGGTGTGAGTTGGAGCTACTTTCACTTTGCTGTTTACAGGAAACATCTGGTTGTGTGAAAAATGCCGAGAAGAGTTATAAGGTCCTCTAAAAGTATTTATATATTGACAGTCCGAGAAATTTTCTGAAGATGAACACAATTTGGTACTGTGGCTACGATTTAGGTCCCAAGTTTGTCAAGGCATCCTACCAGATAATGTCAGGGCAGAGTAAGACGACAATAATCTGAAACATCAACGTAGCAACCAGTTGTGTTGTCTCAGCTTTTTATTTTGTTCTTCAGCAATGACACAGAAGATTTTAATTTGTTTGTTTGTGTTATTATTTGAAGCACAATGTTGTTAAATGTAGTTCACATGCTTTTTCTTGCCACTCAGTGTCATACCCAGTACGATGTGGTGCATTTTGAGTGCAGGAACATGTGAAGTGACTCATTTTCCTTTTCTTTTTCACAGTTGAGAGTATTCAAGTTGGCTAAATCTTGGCCCACTCTTAACACACTCATCAAAATCATTGGTAACTCAGTGGGGGCTTTGGGCAACCTGACCCTGGTGCTCGCCATCATTGTCTTCATCTTTGCTGTGGTGGGCATGCAGCTGTTTGGAAAAAGCTACAAGGACTGTGTGTGTAAAATCTCTGACGACTGCACTCTGCCTCGTTGGCACATGAATGACTTCTTCCATTCATTCCTCATTGTGTTCCGAGTGCTTTGTGGAGAGTGGATAGAGACCATGTGGGACTGTATGGAGGTGGCTGGGCCTACCATGTGCATCACTGTCTACATGATGGTCATGGTTATTGGAAACCTTGTGGTACATTACATCTTTTACGGTCAATTCATGAGTCCAACCCATTCAGCTCTTTTAAATTTAGCTGGCCAATATCAGAAATAACTAATCATGATATAGTTTTGCAGTTACACATGTTTGTCGTCACAGCTCAAAGATGAGTCTAACATTGATCTTTCCATCATCTGGTAGGTGCTGAACTTGTTCTTGGCCCTGCTGCTGAGTTCCTTCAGCGCCGACAACCTGGCAGCGACGGAAGATGACAGCGAGATGAACAATTTGCAGATTGCCATCGGGCGGATTCACAGAGGCATTGCTTTTGTCAAGTCGCTGCTTCAAAGCAGCTGCAGCAGTGGATGTCTCAGGAATAAGAAGAAAAGGAACAGTGAGGACAAAGCTCTGAATGAGCTCCACAAACCATTAGGGCCGAATGGTGTCCCCAACCATTTGATCAAAGACTTCCCTAAGAATGGCAACGGAGATGTGACCGGAGTGGACAAAAATGGAGACAAGTACATAGTCTGCAGCAAGAGTGATGATTCTATAATGTCTTTCATCAACAATCCCAGTCTGACTGTCACTGTTCCTATCGCTGTTGGAGAGTCAGACTTTGAAAACCTCAACACGGAAGACTTCAGCAGTGCCTCGTCCGACGCAGCAGCCTGCCACATGGTAAGGATGCTTTTGTCAGTTGAACTAATTGGTCTGTCAGGATGGCTTTACTGTTAGAGATGACAGTGCTTTAGAGCCAGTGTTGGGATCACAAAGGATTTTGATTTGAGTGAACATTGCTGTTGAGAGTAGTATTGTGTTCCCTTACGGCAGGTGAAGCCCCTGCTTTACAGTCTACAGCCACAGCAGTGAGATGTGAGCACGCCTCATGATGTTTCCCCTAAATGTCCCATCAACCATGACTCTTTAACAAGGAGAGGCCGTACAGACAGGAAAATATCAGTGTGCAGATTACATTATGTGGCAGTTAAGCCTGAGTGCCGGGGAGCTGAATCCTCCTCCTAATAAGGACTGTGCTTTATATTATGGAAAAGCTCGTACTGTGAAAAAAAAACAGAAGCACGCTGACTGTGTATAATATGATTGTTGTAATGTTAGTGATGTGATCTGCTGATGCACTTGCTGTTTTGATTGTTAGGGAAATTCATTTACATTGTGAATTTCTTTTTCAGCTTCTCAGCTTGAAATCATTTTGCCGAGCGGAAGTGTTTCACGGGAAGATTAGCAGACGCTGTTGCCTGCTCGCTGCTGCTTTGTTGCAGATGCTGTCAGAGTTTTAGCAAACTTGTAAAAACACATTAAAACACATTACACTTATCACGGAGTGCCTCATTTACAATAACGATCCAATAACCTTTTAGCAGATCACTTATCATTCTTTTGTGGCTTTGCTTCATTCACTTGGAAAGTTTTTCTAATAATTGCCCCTCCTCATATGTTTTATTGGTTTAACTAAATACTAGAAACTCTTTTCAAAGCAATGTAGTCCAGTGCACCACCACCACATAGGACCTTTACATTAAACATATAGTAGAATTATCACTTTCCTCACAATGTCAGCAAAAACTGTCGTGTTTAAGCTTCGAATGTGCTGGTATTGCTAACAGAGGTGAGTGTGTGCTTGAGGATGATGACAACACAAGGATAATTTGTAGTGATTTCCTTGTTTAAACAAATTTTGTACATACAAACGCTTCTGCTAACAATGACGTAGATAATTCAAAAAGAAAAAGGCCACAGCTGACTCTTGGTTTTTCCCAAATGTACCACAAAGCGCTTTTCTCCCAGAAAAAGAATGGCAGGATCGAAGCTCAATCTATGATAACACTGACCTTAGTGCATGCAGCGCATCGCAGTAACATGCTTACATCATTCTCTGCACTGCATTAGCTTTTCCCAGGGCAGCCAAGTGCTCCTGCATTCTCCAGGAAGACATTCAAGCTGTTCTCATGCTATTAGGAGACACACCCTGCAGAAAGCCATACAACAATAGGCTGAAGGAGAGACCATATGGCTGCTGTGAAACACTGACAGGCTTCAAATCCCACATTGTTTTTAGATATTTTTTGCTTTTTATGTTTTAGAGCACTGGTGGCTGAGACCTGTGCAAATTTTGTGTGTGTGTGTAATTGACTCAGCAAACATTTGATAGTTAAAACAAGTCGTGCTGATGGGCAGACAGATGTGGCATGCTCTTATCTTCCTACAATAAAAATGGAGTTGATAAGGAGGCAAGACAACAGGAGCCTCTGTAAGGCTTATTGTCCTCTCAGTTCAGCTGCTAAAAGGGGGTCCTCTGGGTGAGAACATGCAGATGGGTTTTCATGTGGATATTTAAACATATTGATTCTGGGTTTTTTTTCTGAAAATATAGATTTATGTGTACGCTTTTTATTTTAGCCGTCATACATTTGATTTGCGTGCCAGTGATTCTTGCGAAGTCTTCCCCAACAGCTTTGAACAACCCCAACCCTAAACAACTACAACTAAAACATGTCATTTGTCTATGACTTGTACAAGTCACTTGGTATTTTTTTTGCTATGAAAATAGGTTGAAAAGGAGTGCGTGAAGTGTGGGGACGCACACCTGTCAGTCTCTTAGATTAGCCACAACTGTTATATTTGCTCAGATAACATTAGATATCTTCAACCTCTGTTTGACAGATTGTAGAAGACGATGGGCAGTTCAGCTCCTCTGAGGGCAGCACAGTGGACGGTCTACCAGCTGGAGAGGGAGAATCTTGCGACTTTGAATTAGAAGAAGCTATGGAACCTGACGCCTGCTTTCCTGCTGGTGAATACTAACGGTGACCTACTACAGCCTTGGTTTTAATCAGATCCAGACATGTTGCATGATTAAAACACCACCTCCTATTTTGTCTCTTGTCAGCATGTGTGCAAAGGTTCAAGTGTTGTCAAGTAAACGTGGACGTGGGCTGGTGGAAGGTGTGGTGGACGCTGAGGAAAACCTGTTTTCGGATAGTGGAGCACAACTGGTTTGAGACCTTCATCATCTTCATGATCCTGCTGAGCAGTGGAGCGCTTGTAAGCCACTGCAGAAAGGCGTATAAAGTTGTTTTTGAACACCGAATTTGTCATGTATTTACACATCATATCTGGCATCTGTGCTGCTGTCTTAACTGCTGTGTTTAAAGACATTTCATTTAATGTCATTGAATTGGTCCAGTCCCGTCTTCAATAGTCACTGTTTAGGACAATCCAAAGGTATTCTTGTGCTTGTTTGGTGTTACTGACATTCTCTCTCCATCTCTCTGTCTTCTCATTCAGGCACTGGAAGATGTCTATATTGAGAGGAGGAAGACCATTAAAACAATATTGGAGTTTGCGGACAAAATTTTCACCTACATTTTCATTCTGGAGATGTTACTGAAATGGGTGGCCTATGGATTTGCCAAGTATTTCACTAATGCCTGGTGCTGGTTGGACTTCCTCATTGTTGATGTAGGTTGAAACACCTTTGTGTAATGCTTGTTGTTCATGCTGTAGCATCTGAGAATGCTCCCTTTAAAGGTGGTGATGTGTCTTTTCTGCTCATGTGATCCAGGTCTCCCTGGTCAGCCTGGTAGCCAACGCTGTAGGAATTAATGAACTCGGTGCCATCAAGTCTCTGAGAACCCTGCGAGCTCTGAGGCCCCTGAGAGCCCTGTCACGGTTCGACGGCATGAGGGTAAGAGTCACTGGATTCCCCCAAACGTCATGGTGCGCTGCCTACCACCAGCTCACTGCACTGGTACAAAGCGCAGGCGCTCTGCAGTCTGGTGACAAACAGCAAAACACTGTGTCTCGGCAAGATCCCAAAAAATTTGTTCCATGTAAATGACGCCTTCCTCACCTTCCCTATCCCGCTTTCTCCACATATTACTGGTCCTCCTGTTGAGCTTAAATATTTGAATAAAAGGTTAACTACATCATTTTCTTTTGAATTATACTCCAGTGGCGCAGGATGTTGGTGAAATGAACAGTTTGACATTTTTGCATATTTCTTCCTTAAATGAGATACTCTCCTCCGTCCACCAAGTATGTAGCTAAAACCAGTATTTAGCTTAGCATATAGACTTGTGACAGAAAAAAAACATCTATTGTTTTGTAGACTACCATTCTGGAGCCTCAGGTTTGGTATTTGGACATCGCTGTCCTCATCTTTTGAAACTAGGAATAATAAACGAGCAGTCGAATTAACTGGAGAACTTAAAAACACTAGCACGGTACTGCCAATCACAAGGTAGCCCCGCCCTCAAATATACCCCACTTCATTGTTTATTTTACTCTAAACTGAACTACAATTTGCAAGTTAAACATCATGCCGTATTTAAAAGGTCTTGAAACTAGCGATTGGCAGCATGGACTTATGATGAAAATGCCTACTAAATTAACAGATCAGGAAAGAAGCAAGTCAGTTTTTTTCATCAACTTCTGCACAATCAGAATTCTTTTTGCAATCAAGGAAGTCACCCCCTGCTGGCAGTTATAAAGAATGCACAGGTAACACACTTCACTTTTCAAACCCAAAAGTCTCCAGATATGAAAATGTGTAGCATTTAAAAATGTGCACACTCTACAATGCCATGTTCTGCATTTTAAAGACGTGAACATTATAGATGTCACTAATGATGTAAAGATATGATGACTGGAACGTGTTGGAAAGCCCTTATTTTACTCACTATTGAGTTAACTTTGGTCAACCGTAATCATTTTCTGGTAACTTATTTGTTTTTTCACATTAGCTTTTGTGCAAATTAAACAAGACACAATATGTTTATTAGTAAATTAGGTGATGCTGGAAGGTTAAGAAGACAGAAAGCAAATGAGCGTACTTCCCCAGATGTCAAACTATTGTTTTGAGTGACATCATGCCCCTTGTAGCAAAAATGAAGTGATGTTTATGTCATGTCATACTTTACAACATTTAGCAGGGCTATGCTCTTAGTTGGGGTTGGTAACTTATGTAACGCAAGGGGCAGGGTTGTAGTCTGCTGAAATCAATGTAGCATGTATTGATCAGCTGCTTTCATATTGTGGTGGTCTAGATTCACAGCACTGTTATGATGATCGTCTTTCCTCACGTGGTAGCCGGTGAATTTCCTCATTTGCATGCACAGCTGCTCATGTGCGTCAGTAGTGCTACATTGGTTTCCATTATCATTTCACTGTTTTTTTTTAAATATTGTGTGCTGCGTTATTTAACATGATTTCTGTATGTTTTATTTATGTTTTTGTTTACAGTAAGCACATTTTGTGGCATCCTCCTTCCTCTACAAAGGTGTTCTGTTTCAATGTTTACCTTAAAATTTAGTCAACCCACTAAAACCACTTTTAGAAACATAGTATACTTTAATTGATCAGTCTCCTGCCTTTTCTCCTGATTCTTTTCCAACCTTTACCATGCCGTTATCATTGTATTTGAGCTTTGGTGTGCGTCATAGCTGTGATGAGGTCATGCTGATGCTGTATGTTGGCACTGAAACGTTCACTCTTGTGTTTTCCTGTTCTTACCGTTACCACAGTGTACAGTGTTGTGCATCGGTTCTAAATTCTGTGATCTCTGCCTGCCATACAGATGTGTCATGTTTGTGTGTTGCTGTGCAGGTGGTTGTCAATGCCCTACTGGGAGCAATTCCTTCCATCTTCAATGTGCTGCTGGTGTGTCTCATCTTCTGGCTCATCTTCAGTATCATGGGCGTCAACTTGTTCGCAGGGAAGTACTACAGTTGTGTCAACAGAACCAACGATAAACCTTTACCTCGAACAGAAGTGAGAAACATCTCAGACTGTACAAATTTGCCCAATACCACTGTTCGCTGGAAAAATGTCAAAGTCAACTTTGACAATGTTGGTATGGGTTACCTTGCCCTGTTGCAAGTGGTAAGTAACAAAAAAAATTGATTATGCGATAATTGCGCAGTGTGTGCATTTTTAAGCATGCAGACTTGTTCTTTGCTGTTTTCATTTCTATATAGGCTACATTCAAGGGTTGGATGGACATCATGTATGCTGCTGTGGACTCTCCAAACAAGGTAATCAAATTTTCATTGTTTAGCTCATCCTATATCTTTTTACGATCTCTCTTAAAAAATCACACCTCTAAATATCTCAGTACTATATTGAAAATCTAATCACAGTCGAGTGTCATGAGGAGTAGAAACAGAACTTTTCTGTTCTGAAAGTTCCTCTGCGGTCTCTAATTGAACCCATAAAAAGTCATGTTTAATCATTTCCATGGAAATAATCCCTCCCTGTTTTCATATGGCTTTAGATGTAACTCTACACTGCTGCTTCTTGTAACGTGGTGCAGCTCGAGCACACCAGCTCACCTGCTCTGCTCAAACACTGTTAAACTTGTCGCCACAGAATAGCGAGTTTGTATTATTGGAGTAATTCAGCCATACTTGTTGAACTGGAAACAGGTTCTGAAGAAGAAGAAGAAGAAGAAGAAGAAGAAAAAGAAGAAGAAGAAGAGAGAAAGCCCCACACTACAATTAGGCAGGATTGGGTTTTGTTTTTTAGGTTTGTTATGTATGAAACTCTCGAAGTCTGAATTCGTGTTTTTTGAGACTGTCATAGGTACACTACAGCTCCAATGTAGAAAGGCTCAGCTATGGCCTTGACTGCTTATTTTGCCTATGATCTGTCAAAGAGCATATAAAAAACCCAATGTAGGCATGTTTACATTATAAACACCTTTTTTCAAGACGGCAACGCAAAATGTGACAAACTAATTTTTACAAGGGATTAATGGCTCAAGAAGCTGTTAGATGAAGTGTTACAGGCAACAGAATGCAATGCAACTTTAACTCCATCCATCCATTATTTAGACGCCGCTTAATCCTCATTAGGGTCTCGGGGGGGGGGGCTGGAGTCTATCCCAGCCGACTCAGGGCGCAGGCAGGGGACAGGTTGCCACTCTATCAAAGGGTTACACTTCGAGACAGACACATTCACATTCACACCTACGGATAGTTTAGAATCACCAATTAACCTCAAACATGCAAACTACACAAAGAAAGATCCCAGACGTCATAATCGGGACTCGAACCGGGGACCTTCTAGCTGCGATGCAACAGTCCTACCCACCGATCCACCATGCAGCCAACTTTAACTCCTCAGCAAAATAATTAACCTGCTGTTGTGTGGAGAGTTGTTTTCGTGTATAGCATGAAATTCAATTTCATTTGTATACATTGTTATCTCTTTTATTAGAACCTAGGGAGTTTGTTTGGCTTCGCTTCCAACAAATCATACAAAGGTGCTCTGGTAGTGTTGGCTTACCCCAGAATTCTAGAGTCTGTAGAATTATATCACTCGCTGTTCATCTCAGCCAAATGAACCGAAACTGAAATCTTGAGGATTATACCTTTAATGTTAATGTAATGCCTCAATTTTCTGTCATTATTACAGCCAGGAGAACAACCAGAGTATGAGATCAACCTGAAGATGTACATCTATTTTGTCGTTTTTATCATATTTGGAGCCTTTTTCACTCTCAATCTCTTCATTGGTGTCATCATTGACAATTTCAATCAGCAAAAGAAAAAGATAAGTATCAACTCTGCTTTCTAAACAACTTTTGATATTTTGACTTAAAACATTTTTGCTGTGATTTAACACGCGTCGCATGCTCTCTTTACTTAGGAGGTCAAGACATCTTCATGACCGAAGAGCAGAAGAAATACTACAATGCCATGAAAAAGCTGGGATCCAAGAAACCTCAAAAACCAATTCCTAGACCATCAGTATGTAGCTTTATTCATGAATGCAGCTTTTACAAATCTGGTCTGTGTTTTATAGCATCTAAAATCTGTTGTTGTCTCTTCACCATCTGTCTGTTTCAGAACAAGATTCAAGGATTCATCTTTGACTTCACCACAAAACAAGCATTTGATATTGTGATTATGGTTCTAATATGGCTCAACATGGTAGCCATGATGGTGGAAACTGCTGACCAGTCACCAAAGAAGGCCAACATCCTCTACTATATTAATGTAGTTTTCATTGTCGCCTTCACTGGAGAGTGTTTGTTGAAGATGATCTCACTTCGCCAGTACTACTTCACAAGTGGCTGGAATATATTTGATTTCATCGTCGTGATCTTGTCGATTCTTGGTATGAGTTGCTTCTGTTTGCTCTCACATATATTCATTTTGTCAGTAAAACTGTGTTGTTTACATTTCGTATTCTGCTTGTTTTCCTCTCTCCAGGTATGTTTCTCTCAAAGCTGATAGAACAGTATTTTGTCTCACCCACCTTGTTCCGAGTTGTCCGATTGGCTCGCATTGGCCGCGTACTCCGCCTTATTAAAAGTGCTAAAGGAATCCGCACACTCTTGTTTGCCTTGATGATGTCACTTCCTGCCTTGTTCAACATCGGTCTCCTGCTGTTCTTGGTGATGTTTATCTACGCCATCTTTGGAATGTCGAACTTTGCGTACGTCAAGAGGGAAAGAGGCATCGATGACCTTTTCAATTTTGAGACATTTGGCAACAGCATGATCTGTTTGTTCCAGATCACCACCTCGGGAGGCTGGGACGGCCTGCTCTATCCCATTCTCAACAAACAAAAAGATGATTGTAACAGTACTGCGGAGCATCCTGGTAGTTCTGTTGTAGGAAACTGTGGAAATCCTCCTGTGGGAATTGCCTTCTTTGTGAGCTACATCATCATCTGTTTCCTTATTGTGGTGAATATGTACATTGCAGTCATCCTGGAAAACTTCAGCGTGGCCACTGAGGAGAGCGCGGACCCTTTAAGCGAAGATGATTTTGAAATGTTTTATGAGGTCTGGGAAAAGTTTGACCCTCGTGCAACGCAGTTCATGGAGTACTATAAGCTTTCAGAATTTGCAGATGCTCTCGACCCGCCGTTACGCATTGCCAAGCCTAATAAGATCGAACTGATCTCTATGGATCTACCCATGGTGAGTGGCGAGCGCATTCACTGCCTAGACATCCTGTTTGCATTCACAAAACGTGTGCTCGGCGAGGGTGGGGAGATGGACATTCTAAGGGGGCAGATGGAGGAGCGCTTCATGGCCTCAAATCCTTCCAAAGTGTCCTACGAACCCATCACTACCACCCTCCGCCGCAAACAGGAAGACACGTCAGCTGCTGTCATCCAGAGAGCATACAGACGTTACGTCAAGAACAATCCAGGAAAAGGTAGCAGGCCCTATGACACGTCCAATGGTAACGTTCAAAAGGAGGAAAAGGTCACTGAGAAAGAAGACCTTGCCACAGACAAACAAAAAAGTGAACTCGCTCCTTCGGCGGCCTCTCAACCTTCGTCTAATAGTGTGACAACAAATGGAAAAAATAAATACGAAAAAGATAAAAGTGAAAAGGAGGTCGTGAGCAAAGATGTCACAGAGCAAGACATGTAGGAGAATGCTGGAGATGCAACAAAGACGTTTTCATAATGGCAAAATGTTTACAACCTTTGAAAGTGACTAAGACATCCATTGGACGCCCTTCCTTAGTATGGATATCTACTATGCCAAACTGACTGTGCTTACTTGGCTCTAGAGGTTGGTGCCTAAAATGGAAAAAGTGGCTCATCAGGCTGTAGCAGAACCATTCTGGATGTTCAGGAGCAGGGATCTCTTTTGGCTGTGTTGTGTGGATGGGCAAAGTGTTCTGAAAGACACATTAGTTAATGCTTTAACTTCTATTGCAGCTAGTTCTGCTATCCAGTGTCTTGAATTATTTGTTATATCATTGACTGTTGAATTACTTAACCTAATTAACTTTCATGCAGAAAAAAAAGAATAATTACTTTAAGAATTCACAGTTTGGTTGATTGGATTTTGATACATTTTTTACTCCTCAAAGGGGTTGTTCCTTCAGGTATAGTCTGGACAATGAGTAAAACTGCTTTAAGGTTAGTCTCGCTGACTGATAGCGCTTAGAATGTTTGACAAATCCAAGAGACAGTGTCAGAGTTAATTAGCAATGTAGACCTGCATGAATGTCTCTCCAAGTTTATGCATGATAGAGTGTACTGATTTTACTATGCTCTCTCCCAGTCCATCATGTCTCATGATGCGAAGTATAGACGTGACATGGTTGCTTTTTATACATTGCAGAAACATCACTTTAGCCTACCGTTCGAACAAATCCAGCCGAGTGTGCTGATTATGTTTGATTATCAGTGTCAGAGCAGTAACCCTTGGCAGAAACACTTTGCACATTGTTGAAATCATCGAAATCATTCACGTACGTCACCTCTGCTTCCTGCGTTCTACCTGTGTACCATTTAAAATACTGACAATTATGTACAAATGTTATCATCAAACTGTGCTTAAAACTAAGTCCTCAATGGCTTTCGAAGCTGGAGATTCAAGGAAAAGCTCCACGCTGTTTGCACGCCGCAACTCACCCTGTGCTAACTGACCTCGCCTATCAACGAACCTCTTGCTGTAGGAGATAATCTGTCGTTTTGTCTGTTTGTAGGACAGCAACGTCCCTAAAAGTATCTCATCATGTCTACCTTTTCTTCATTTTGCCTGTTTTCTTCCTTAGTTGGTGTTTATTTTGTAATGATTATGTAATCATGGAATATATGAAAGAACTCATATTGATTACCTGTGATATAAAGCCAAATATATGCTCCATGTTCTGTTGTATTCAACCAACAGATATGATACATTCAGCGCGAGGTGGGATAAAAGAAATGTAAATGTCTATGAAAACTGCAATATGGATGGTATTTTTTCTCACTAAGACAAAGCCCTGTGTTATATTACTGGTGGTGACTTTCCTGTCTGAGCTGTTTTATTATGTAACCTGCATATTTTTTATTTGGAAATGTTAACTGGAAAATAGGTTGTTGATCTATTATGGGGTTTTGTTGCGTGTGTGTGTGTGTGTGTGTGTGTGTGCTTTGTAAACTGTTTTTTCTTTTCTTTTTTTCACAGTTTACCTCTCAATCTTTATCATGATAAATATCTAAGAAGGATGAAAGATGGCTCAGAAAATTCTGAATGATCTCAAGGATATGGCATCACACATCTCATGTGCCCTTAGCTATTTCCTTCAGCTGTTTACATTTTATATTGTTGTGTTACTTTTGTCAGTTCATTCACTCCCAACGACATCCACCCTAAGCCGTGTCACGACTACATCTGTTCTTCTATGTTATAAAGTATATTTCCACTGATGTAATTACATTTTGCATGTAAGTAAAACGTTCACTACTTACGCTATACTTTATGCATACTGAAAGAATGTTTTGATTACACAGACTTTAACATCTCCCATCATTTATATGCATAATGCTTGTAGTGTATAAATAAACTGCATGCAACACACTGCTATAACCCATTTCACTGAAAAGCTAAAAGAATAAAGATTACATGTACGTCAAGTATGCCTATAACATTCATTTATTTTACTGTTAAGAAACATGTATGTAATGCCTGCGGAATTTATTTCCTTCTTCTCATTTGAGTTGATTGTGAGAGTGGAACTGGAGGGAAATAATAGAAAAACAATATTCTCCCATCGTGAGAAGAGCTGGAAGTTTGGCTCTTTAGGCTTCCTTTACTTTGCTTGCATTTTTTTGTCATTTGTTTTCTGTTTTCAGTCAGAATGCTCCAGTAATCATCCACACTCTGTCCTGGTATAACCATCACTTTATGTGTGTTACTGTGCCTCCTCTAATTGTCTGTTGCATTTGTTCATAACTCATTTGTTTTTTAAAAACTCATTCTGTTAATTTCTGTCTTTTTGTCATGTGCAGGTATTTGCATTGCAATGCAGATTCCTTATACGTCCTAATATTTAAAGGATTTTTCAAACACAAAATGAATATGATATGCATTATATACTGTTCAGAGATTTTAGAAGGAGGGTGAAACTGTATTTTCTTCCTCTTAATACTATTATTGTGTTGACTTAGTTTGCATTATTTTGGTTAATCTGCCGTAAGTCCTCAGTATTTGTATAAAGACGTGTAAGAAGGTCACTGAGCACAGTGGAGTCGGAGAGGAAAAGTCTTATATGACTCCAGTTCAGAGACCACCTGAGAGGCTGAAAGTCTGTTGTCGACAAGGAATTGAATAAGCAGCAAAAAATGTAATTTATTTTCAGCTAAGCTGGCAAATGATTTACTCCTACACTGAAGGAATAGTGATTGACATCAGGATAGGTTTACTGTCCTACGTTCATTTTATTAAGCTCATGATCATACTGTAGACATTTGATTTTACATACAGACGGGGGAACAATTAAAGGGAAAATTCTTCAGTGTTTCTTGCTTCTCCAAGTCTCTGGAAGTCTGCTGGAAGGATCAACATCATTCTTCCAAAAGATATTCTGATGATAGTGGTGGAGAGGGTTGTCTGACACGTTGGTTCAAAATCTCACATAGGCATTAAAAAGCGATTTTTTTTCCTCCTAATTTGTCACCCGTCTGTATTTTTTGTAAGCATGAGTCAGCTTGTTTAGTTTCTCTTAGTTTCGCTTATTTCCCAGCTTTGACTGTGCAGTGAGAAACACATTTTAGTTGACAGCTTACACACATAAAGCTCTACTTATTCAAATGTGCTTAAAAAATGAGCTCCTACTCCCTCATATGAACACGTCTTGTGGTACAATTTCCTCAAATCAATATTTGTCTCACAGAGAGAATTTTTTTTGAATTTGTTTGAAAAATCAGAGAGAACTCAAAGCTCGTCTATTCATTTCTTAATAACAGAATTAACAAACACCTTTCTTATGTTGACATTTACCAAAGCCACATTTTTTTTTAGAAGCCAGTGCCTTTGCTTTAATGCTACCTCATTTTTATTTGCTCACTAACATCCGGAACATCAAGCGGGCATTTTCAGAGATTCATGTTCATTGATGAATGAAGTTGATGAGTGACTTTCATTAGTCTGTGGGTATTTAATTCTGAAAAATGGATCTAAAGTGCAAACCACAGAGATGACTCAGAGGCATTAAGCGCCAGATTTTACAGTAATAAGCTATACAACTGTTGCAATGCTGATAGCAACCAAACCACAATCAGCATTAGTTTCATTCCAGAAACTGTAGAATGTTAAAGTTGTTGGTGTCCATTTCCAAAATGTAGTAAGCACTCAAACTGTAAATGGCTCAGCTTATATTATCTTGAGATATTGGAAGCACTTATGGATGTACGGCTTTCAGCAAGTCATTTTGAGTGGCATGACAGTGTAGCGTGTAAATATTTCTTCAAAAATATTTATTCACTTCTGGCCGGGGACTGACAATGTGTACAAGTTTATTACGTTTTCATTTCCGTATGCAGCGTGTTTCAGCAAACATCCGTGCAAAAAGCTAGAATCTGGTTTCTGAGTGCGCTTTGTGGCTTCTGGAAACTATAGCATCTTAAGTGGGTGGAACATTTTATTAATTATTAATGACAATCCAAATATTCATTATAGTCCGACATTGCTTTTGCCGACTGTGGCTGCTGAACCCTGAGGGCAGTAAACAGGAGGCTGATGGCAAAGTGCTGATTATTCCTGCCATTCTGTCTAACAACGATGATGTGATTATCACTTGGTGCCACACCCACTCACAGCACTTTATGGCTCGCATGTTGTTTCTCTAACAGGGCAGTCAGCACAGTGATTGAACTGTCTCTGAATAAATTTTTGCCAGCCTGCTGTCAGAGCTCAAGACGTTATCACAGAAACAAACTGCCAATTAAAATGTCAAGATTCTTATCCTGTAAAAATGTTTGCTTATCATGTCATGTTTGCTTATTATATCACACTCATCATGTGAGAGAGATTATGAAACGTAGTGACTGAAACCAGCACACAGCTTCACCGATGGCAACAAGTGGGGTTACAGATAGCCTGTTTTAATGACCGGTAAATCAGGAGTAATTCTGCAGATTCTCCTTGCTGGTTGCCCAGCAACATGACATCAAACTCCTTGTTAGACTGCATTATGGTGGAAGGTCGGAAGTTGGTCTGCCGTCCCCACCCCTGGAGTCTCGCTAGCCGGGCAGTAATATGTGGACATGTTTATGTGAAAGGATGAGTGTTTGCCTTGGGACCTCGCCACTGGCATGCGTGTAGGGGCTTAGTCGAAAACGTTTCAGAGAGAAATCTGAGAATGCTACCTATAACAGCTCTGTAATTTTATTTGCTGTGGATGGATGGGAAGAAAATCCCATTAGATTAGATAGTGGTGAGTTCCCCCCTTACCTTCCCAATGTGCTAATAGAGAGACACACAGACTGACAGAAAGACACACTCACTTTTTTATCTCACCCTTGAAATCACACACACACACATAGACAAACCACTCCCACGTCAAGACAGCACATACAAGTACTGCTTGTCAGGTAGAAACACAATCATCACGTATTAGAATAATATAGTTACTGCAAATGTGTAAGAAAGCAGAAATTCCTGACTATCACTATCATACCTGCTGTGTGTTTACATGGGCAGATTAGCACACGCGTGTCTGTGCTCTGAAGTGCAAAGCAAATTTCAAGTAACTTTTTTGTTTTTTTTTTATTGCAACACATATGGAAAAAGAAATAAAAGAGTTCATTTGCAAGTGAGCTGCTTGTATTATTGGGCATGGCACTTTGATCAATAATGGTCTGTACAAACCACAATGGATACAGCCATTAGAATGCTATAGCAGTGGATCCCAGGGGGTCCATATTCCATCGTCTTCCTCTAATAGGTTTTCAGATGCATTCTTTGAAAGTGCAACAACACATACAGTATTTATTGCTCAATGCTAAGTACAACACCTCAATTGTTCACCGTGTAACTACTCTGTATTATTGAAAATATAATTTGTTTCTTTTGGATTTATATGGACATAAAAGAGGTAGTATTAATAAATGAATATTATTTACCCCGGTGCAATTACTCTTGTCAAGTAATGTCAAACAGCATGGGTGCAAAAGTGTGAGCAAAACTTGTGTGGTGCGACACACAGACATTTCCCATGGCTGCGCATACACAGAGCTCGATACCAACCTGATTTACTCTTTCATTGATGTGTGCTGTAGAGAGTAATGATTATGTGCCAGAGTTAGTGCTAAATAGTATCTGACAAGGCATGGAAAGGTCTCTCCTGGAACAGTTGCACCCACAGCTGGTCTGGCCATGGACTCAACACTGTAGACATCATACTTAACAGTCAATGCATGGGGTTGCATAACGCTGGAGCACCAATTACCACTGGCTGGACAGAAATATGTTTCCACTGCACATGGTAAGCTATGTAAAGATGTGTTCATGTGTGCAAAAAGGTGAGGTGAACAACAATATAGCCACACAATAACAAACATGAATGGGCGATATTAACATTATGTTTAGAAGCTTTTTTTTCCCCCAGCCAAACAGAAACCAACCCTACAAAGAGCCAACCACATTAATCCTGCGTATGTGAGTGTAATCCAAGCCCCTGAGCTCGCTCACAATATTTCCATATATTCAAAGGAGGTTAAACTTACTTTGACCTTTGACATGCAATGTTTTTTTTTCTTCTTCATGTCGCTTCAAATGCATCTGAGTTGGGAAATTGGTTAATAGGTGAAATTTATAGTTTACAGATTGCATTTAAAATACTCTTGTAGCCTTACATTATACTTTACAATGCAAGGGTACAATATAGCATGTTTTGACACAAGCAGATACACTTAAAACTGTTAATTTTTGTTTTTATCTAACTTGTTTTTTTTTTTTGCAGAATGTCAACTAAGGTAATATTTTTTATTAATGAGCTGCTATTATTGTTAGTAGCAGCACTTGTGGTGGAAGTGGAGCTGGTTTAGTGTAAAAACGTATTAAAAAGGATGATGGCGCCACCTAGTGATACAAAGGTGAGGACGGCGTAAGGTGGTTTATTTACCCCTACTTTTGTCTGTCAGGCTTCTGGACAGGCTGAGAGCTCTTTTATACGTTGCCAATGGTAGTCCAAACAGCTAAACTACGTGTATTCATAATGCTTAGGGGCTTTGTAAACCAAGCCAACATTGTAATCTGCCATTTTTACTAAAGAAGAAGCAACATGTAAGAAGCCGGAGAAGAAGAAGTCGCGCCTGTGAGTAAATTTACAGGGAATAAATACCTCCTGGATCCTGCCTGTTCCTAAGTTACCGGACAACGCTAAAGGAGTTAAAGCAAGATGGCGAAAACACAACGGAAACTACAGTAAATATCGTCGTTATCTTCAAGTACAGTGTAGAGACAGAATTACAACAGTTGTGATAATTACGCTTTTAGTTGTTGCTGCAGCACGAAGCGTTTGAGCCAAGATGGAGGATGAAGAGACGAGCTTGGTAAGCGAACATGATAAATGCAACACCCGAAGGCTGCACATGAAGGCGAATGACAGAAAAAAGACTTTCAGAGAACGTAATTTGGTGTATATTCTGGCAAACAGTTCGTAAGTTATGACTGTCTTCTTGTAAGCTAAAGTTAAACGGTAACAATAGCTGTTTGCCTTGACGGCGACTAACATCGGCTAACTTAAACTGGCTAGCATGCACTGTGGCCGTAAACGCAGCATCTCTATTTTAATTTTGCTTTGCATGTTCAGATATGGAAACCAAAAGATCACTTGTGGTGTAATGTAAGTGTTTAAAGGCTGTTTTTCTATCACACTGTTTAAATTCCTGCAAATCAATCCCCTCTTTCTATCTTTTCCACAGGCTTTGATCAAGTATTACTGCTATGAGAAGTATTTCAGTCACGCCGTAAACGCTGCAGCATCTGCTCAAAGGAAATTCAGCAATGATCCTATCTACACCTTTTTCCACGCGTATGGTACCCTCATGCAAGGTAAGCTTCAAACAGAGTAATATGTTCTGGATGGATGAGTTTCCTGCTGTTGTACATTTATCTCTGTCATTGTTTTGTTTCAGACCAAATCCAAGAAGCTTCAGCAGAACTGGACACAATCAGAGATGATCGAGATGTGTGTCTCTGCACGTTAATGGCCCTCGTCTATGCAGAGAAGAAGAAGACCAATCCAGGTAAGCCGGCAGAGTTCTCTGATTCATGCCGTAGATGTTTCTTTCATTGCACTGGACACACTTGACTACGTGTCTTTTCATTCACAGACAGAGACGTTATTCAAGAACTTGATGCTAAGGTCAAAGAGGATCGTAAAAGTGCACCTCCTAAGAGTCTGTACTACGCTGGAATTTTTCTCTGGCTATTAGGAAGAAATGATAAGGCGAGGGAATACACGGAGAGAATGATCAAACTCTCCAACGGCTCGAGAGAGGTGAGATTTATGTTTTTGTCATATGGCTGAGAGATGCATCAGTATTGCTTTTCAATTTCTGTGAAAAGGTTTGACGTGTGTGGAATGATAAGAGAGATCTGTTTGTGCTTTTGAGAAATATGAGCTGATATTTGTTTTTTTTAGGGGATAATCCTAAAAGCCTGGATAGATGTGACATCTGGTAAAGACGCCTACGCCAGAAAGGCTGGAAAATACTTTGATGAGGGACTGAAAGAGAGAGCAGATGTTTTCGGCCTGATGGGAAAGGTGACATGGGAAATACAGCTCCACACTGAATAGCCTTCCTCAGCCACAGCTGCAAATGTTACGATGCTGTAATTCCTCCTAGTCCCTACTCATTTTACACTACTTATTGTGTCTCTAATTGACTCTGTGCTTGATTTAATGTATCCATTGGTGTATTTTTATGGTTTAGTTCAGTTATTTTTTTCACCACATAAAAACAAATCTTGCAGTTCTCTTCTACAGTAAGTTGTTTAAATGAGGCCCATCATTTTTGAGATATAATTTCCGCTTAAGATGTTTAGATATTTCAACTATATTGCTAGCAATTGGCTTTTGTTTGTGTTTATATATTCTGTACAACTTTGGTGATGTTTTTCTCTGTTCTAGGCAAAATACTATGAATATCGTCAGAACTACTCTGGAGCTTTAGAGATAGTTAACCAAGTCATCGTGAGTTTCCCTGGGTTCTTGCCTGCTCTCGTCAAGAAAATGAAACTGTTGCTGAGCCTTCAAGACTGGGAGCAAACCATAGACGCAGCACACAGGTAACTGATTAGATGTATTGTAGGTTTCTCCCCAAATTATACCCAGATTTCCAGTTTCTCTCTGTGCAAGCTTGTTTGAGCGCTCTTTCCCAGACTCCAAAAAATCTTAAGGAATGGTAACAGTGTTTCTGGTGAAATCAAAACATGCAGAAACATTTATAATCACCACCAGGCATATGAGGGGAAAAAAAAAACACAGTCTGCCTTTACAAATGGCCCAGCATTCAAGTGCAAATGACAGACCAACGTGATGCCTCAAACCAGCGCATACTGACTAAGCCATTGTTTGTGCTTGCTCCTCTGGACCTTAGCCAGTGTCAGACAGCATAAAAAGGCCTTTGAGCCAATGTGCTGGAATCACATACAGTTCCAAGGAGTCACAATTCAGGTTTTTCTGAACAGGAGGAAGAGATTACTCAGGTTGCACCAAGTTCAGAGCTGCTGTGGTGCCCTCACAGTGATGTTGTGGATTGGGAGGGGTGCAAGCAGCAAACAGGATCCTTACATCCTTTGGACGCCTTCGCAGTTCCTTTTAGTTTTAATGTTATTTGTATGGGAACTCAACACAGTGCTGCAGCAGTATCACATATTCTATTGCTGTCAATAAAAGAAATCCAAGCTTATTAAGTGTTGGAAATGGACTTTATTCACAGCACCTTGTGTCATGTTTCAGGCTTTTACAGAAGGATAAAAATAACCTGGAGGCCCTACGGATGCTAGCTCTACATTCTTTATGTAGAGAAGGCGATATTACTGAGGTAAAATGTACATGTTTTCACACGTTCAAACTTCATTCAGTTCATACAGTTGGATATTCACATGAATCTAAATAAATGGTTAATAATTACATTGATTGATGACTGTTTTTTTGTGTCCCTCTTTTCAGTCGGTAAAGCTGCTTTCAAACCTCGTCAGCAGTTTGGACATTCTGGAACCACACAACCCTGAGCTTTACTACAAAATGTCTCTTGCCTTCACCCGAGTTGTAAGACGATTTTTAGAAATCTTTCCAAATTGAATGCTACAGGTGTGATCTTTCTAACTTCTGGAGGCTTTTCCAATGTGCACAGAATTACAGCTTTTCGTGGTTTTGTGTTTTCACAGTGTGGACGGAATGAGAAAGTGATCGAGCAGACATTCAGAATGGTGGAAAGAGCTTTTTCGCAGGCATCCGGGGACTCAGATTTAGCCACAGAGTTGGGCTACCAGATGGTGCTTCAGGGCAGAATCAGGGAGGCTATGAAGTGGTACAAGACCGCCATTACCGATAGGGATCAGACTAGTGTTTCAGCTTTGACAGGTAACGTGTTCCGATTATTTTTCTGCTGTATACATGATACTTTGGGTACATGCACACGTGAAAGATAGAATTTTTTTTATTTTCGTTGAGCAGGTAAAATTCGCTGCCAGCTGATAGAGGGACATCTTGAAGATGCAGAACAACACTTGGAATTCCTTACAGAGATTCAACAATCTATTGGAAAATCAGGGGTAAGCTTGTTTCTATGCTAGAGAGAGGCTTATAATTATTTGGAACTTTTTGTGAGGAATTAAGCAAGAGCTTCTGGCAGCATAAGGAGCAACTGCTCTGTAGAACTTCAGTATTTTCTCTTCAGTTATTCTTCCTGGATGACTGACTTTTTTCATGATGTTATCTTTGATTGATCTTGAACAGACCACTCTTGACAAGGATTTCTTTTCTTTTACATTTTTTTTCTTCTATTGGTTTATTTTCCTTTCTTTTTTTTTCTTCTTTTTATTAGGAACTATCGTACCTACGTGCTGTGCTGGCAGTGAAAAGGCGCCGCCCCCAGGAAGAGGTGACCAACCTGCTGAACGATGCCGTGGACACACACTTCTCCTCCCTGCAGGGTCTGCCTCTGGGAGTGGAGTACCTCGAGAGGCTGAACCCTGACTTCCTGTTGGAGATTGTCAAAGAGTATCTTGCTCTGTGTCCTGCTAAGGTACAGCTGGAAGAATCATCAGTTACTGGGTGTCTTTTGATCTTGAAATTTTTATGTAATTCATGGGCCTTAAATTTGGGCAGCGCAAGAGAGCCTTAATCAGTTATGTACTTTCTTATCAATGTCACACATTTCTGGTAGTATGATTAGAATATGTACACTGACCCTCTTATAATGGGAGTCATCATAAGAATGGTTAAAGACTGTTTGCAGTGAATAGCACTTTGACTATTTCAGCCTCCTGCACAAGGCCAAGCTCCTGCTCCTCAGCTCCAGCACTGTGCCTCCTTGTTGGATAAGGTAGTCAAGATTGTGCCCGGTCTCCTTCAAGGGGTCTTCCTGCTAGCCAAAGTCCGATATCAGTCTGGTGAGTACTGCAGTTAAAAATATGTTTGTTTGGTTTTTTTTAAACAAATGTCTATAAATTTTACTACAATTACTTCTGTGTTCGTTCAGGTGACATTGACGCTGCTCAGAGCAATCTACAGCACTGCCTGGACCAGTGTCCCTCTCATGCAGATGCTCACCTGCTCATGGCACAGATCCACCTGCAGCAGGGTAACGTGGCGTTGTGCTCACAGTCTCTTGAACTCTGCCTCAGCCATAACTTTGAGGTAAAATCACCATCAACATGAAAGTATTTTTGACTGTATCTATATAAGACAATGCATTTTCGTTCACTTCTTTAACCCACTGTTAAACACTAAAGATACATTGCAGCTACATGTCAGCATGTGCTTATTTAAGTATGTTACCTACAGCAGAGGATGTGGAAGAAAGGACGAAGCATGTTTCATTAAATACATGTAATCTAGGATGCATTTGAAGGCACAGTGACAAGATGAGCGTATTTTTTTAAAAGTGTCGTCTGTGTGTTTTGGATGTATGCGTGTGTGGAAGGAAGAGGATGGGTGTGTTCTGAAAGGGAAAGTTTCTTTATCACAGTTAACAAAGTCCTGAAGCCCTGTTCTACATTTTTGTCCTTGGGTTTTGCAGTTTTGCACATCAGTGACAGGGTTAGTTCCCTTCAATGATTCATAATTTTGAGGAATAATCTCTTAAAAGTCTTGGAAGTCAAATCAGTGATTCTTTGTTTTTGTGTTTTTCTAAGATTTACAGGCCAGAGAGTTGGAAGAGTCACTGAAAAGTTTGGTCATTATCAAAACAAGGCCTTTCTCCCGGCGTGAGAGTTAGTTTACTGTTCATCCTTATCAAGGAGAAGAATGGGCCTTTTGATATGTTGAGGTCTCAGAAAGTGCAGTTGCAAATCTTGGCGCCATGTTACTGTGTAATTATTCTGAGAGAACTCTCTCCCACTCGGCAAAGTTTCACAAAGTAACATTTTGAGGTTACCTCTGCAAGCTGCGTCCTTCACCCTATCTCAGTGCATGGTTTGGTCACATGTCCTCTAGAGAAGTCAACAGTTCAGAAATGTTTGATGTTGGAAATAAGTTGTACTGATACTTTTAGGCAAATTACAAGCTGTAGTGGTTTGAGATGACGCCAGGTCAGTGCAGAATCAGTATTAGTGTGATCAATGAGCGTTCAGCTGAGTCAGACTGACATCCTGTGGTGACTGTTATTACTTGCTCGAGTCAAGAACTCGGTCAGAAATGTATCCACAAGACCTTATCCATGTTGATGCAGGGATTGCTTATTTAAATGACTTGCTGTCTGTTCCAGATTCGAGACCATCCATTATACCACTTGATCAAGGCTCAAGCTAAGAAGAAAATGGGTGAACTCACGGAGGCTATTCAGACGTTGCAGATGGCCATGAGTCTCCCAGGTATCCGCAGAGCCGGATCCTCGTCCAAGTCCAAGAACAAGAAGACTGAGCTAAGCTCTGCAGACTGTGTCTCTGTCTTCTTGGAGTTAGCTGAGGCCCTGTGGATCAACGGCGAACAGGTAATATAGTGAGTTCTGACTTAGCGAGACTAGTACATGTTGGTATTCTTTTTGGGTTTCTGCATAAGTTTAACCTCAAAGGAAGCAGTACAGGATAAGCTTATGAATATATTTAATATTTCAGCATGAAGCAGCAAAGGTGATGCAAGATGCCATCAATGAGTTTTCGGGAACACCTGAGGAGCTGCGTGTCACAATAGCGAATGCGGACCTGGCCCTGCTGCGTAGTGATACAGAGCTGGCACTGAGTATGCTCAGAAACATTACTCCTGAGCAGCCCTACTACATTCAAGCCAAGGAGAAAATGGCGGACATATATCTGAACCACAGAAAAGAAAAACGTCTGTATGCAAGCTGTTACAGGTGAGCGGTTCATCTGGATTTAAATGAACAACAAAATGCCACACTGAAATCAAAGACAGTCCCCAAATATATGTCCATGTGTCCTATCTGAAACCTAATGCATTGTAAATGTTTGTCTGAATAGAAATGGCTGAATCTTAATTGAATACAAAGCCACTGAATATCCAGCCACAGTGCACCCACATGTCATCCAGTTAAGTCTGTAGTAGAATTTAGAAGACCACAGGCACAAGGTAAATGAAATAAAAGCTTAACTGAAGCCATTCATGCAGTTGAGAGGAAATATGCAGTTTCCTCCAATTGCCTCAAGTCTTCCTCTGCTCTCAGATGTTACTTCTTATTGACAGCTGAGACTGAGTAGAGTATGATGTAACCACAGAGTAGCAGAGACATATGTCTTCATAATGAAGTACAGCATGTGTGATGTGATACCTCTTGTTTTTCTCCAGAGAAATGGTGGAGAAGCTGCCCGGCCCTCACACGTATCTCTTACTTGGTGATGCCTACATGAACATTCAAGAAGTAAGTGGATGAGATTCAGCTGCACCTTATGACATTGTTTCTTTTGTTTGCGTGCATTTTAGTAATTTTTTTTTGCAGCTTTAAAGGTACAGTTGCTTCAGTCTATGACTTGCATTAGACTATTACAGACACATGTTGACCCAGGCTTTTATAATCAGACAGTGTGCTTCTCAGAGACTGAGTGGGTGCAAATCCTCAGCACTCATTGGACATTAAGTAAGCAAATGTACTTCCTCTCCACACAGAGTTAAAATGCATTTATCTCAATAATTTATTATCAAGGATTTTAAAATCACCCACTTCATGGTAGTTCACGGAGGATCACTGGCAACACAGGAAGTGATTATTTAGTTGTCTCATCCTTCTTCTCGTAAGGGAAGTATCTGGTAGACCAAAGTACAGGAAAAGGAGAACTGACCTGAGGCTGGTGGTTTTGTAGTTTCTAAACACCGATTAGCGATCAGGTAAAACATAGCAGAACCCTAAAGGTCGACAGCGAAAAGGACGGTGTGTTAAATGAAATCAAAGACCTGGATGTTTTGATACCGGCACTATTTTATGAGTGGCAACCCAAGCTTCCTGAGATCAGTCATGCTGACACATGTTTTGGTTGTGATGATAGGCAAGATGACATCATTCAAGTACCGAAATAGATCTTTCCCAATAACTATGAGAAATAGTGTCTTTATCCTGCCTCAGCAACAAATCTGATTGCATGCATCAGCCTGTAAGGTGTTTACCGCATGTTCAAAGCTATTTATAATATTTACAAAAACTTGAAACCAGTAACCAATTGTGACTCCACTTGTCGTCATGTGTGTTTATCTTCAGCCGGAAAAAGCCATTGAGGTTTATGAGCAGGCTCTCAAGAAAAACCCCAAAGATGGTGCTTTAGCCAGCAAGATTGGGAAAGCCCTGGTGAAGACTCATAACTACGTCAAGGTTTGTCTTGTACACTCATTTTAAAAAAAGAAAACGGAAACACAATTTGCGCACAGACGAATTGTGTTTACCCAATTCTGTTCTCACACAGGCGATAAATTACTATGAAGCAGCCCTTAAGACGGAGCAACAGAACTTCCTACGCTATGACCTGGCGGAGCTTCTGATGAAGATGAAGCAATATGAGCGCTGTGAGAGAGTCCTGCACGATGCTCTGGCCCATGAACCAGGTACTAAAAGGCCAGTCCATGGTTTCAGAGTCCATGTGTGCTGAATGATGCAGGTTTTGAATGCAGACGATGCACATGGTTCCATTAATACTACAAATAGGAGCATACAGGAGCGTACTGTGCTACATAGAAGCATTGGATTGCCCCTAATATCAAAAAATCCACAGTGCTCCCGTGGTTAAATGGTTATTTAAAACAATTATTGTCTTTTTTTTTTATTCTTTGTTATATAGACAGCTAAAGGGAAACAGGAGTGGGGGAGCGAGAGAGGGGTTGACATGCAGCAAAAGGGCTGGAATTGAGCCCAGGCTCAGTGCATGGTGCGCACACTCTACCGGGGTGCCCTCCCATCTTCGTTTCTGAAGGGCTTGCTGTGACTTTGCACTTTCTACAGGATATCGCAGCTTGTTACAGAATAGGCTGTAGGGCCATGCTGATGATTTTTCCTGGGGTGTGACGAGAGCCATGGAAAAGTCTGCATCTGGAGTTTGTTGCTTTCCTGTCCCAAGCACAGTGGGCGAACATAGCACAGGGTTTTTGGAGAATTTGGAACTTCCCACTGTGTTTGGGTGCCATCGCTGGAAAGCAGTGTACAATTCAAAGCACGTCCAGAATCTGGCAGTGACTGCTTCAATTACAGCTTGTTCAGTGGTGAACTATAAAGGTGTGGATAACGGCAAATCTCACAAAGCTGCTCCTCAAAACAAGCATTAACTTTGTTTTCCTGGCACACGCGCCAACGGCGGGCAGATGGCAACTTTTACGTCACGCTGAACCTTACAAACATGTGGATGTGGAAAGCATGAATTGGACGTCACAGTGTTTTATACACAGTGAACTCCTGATGTCAAACTCCATAATAAACAAGAATTACATAATCTCATCATTATATTAGTTTGTGCACAGACATGAAGATGCAGATAATCCTTCAGTATAAACACCCTGATATAAATATGAATTAAATATTTGTCAATATTGATTGTGCTAATACCACACTGCTTGAATTTGTAAAATGTACCGATGTGATACTGATAATGGTTTGTTGTGTTGCTGTTACTTTTTCTACCCAGTGAATGAGCTGCCTACACTCTCAGATGATTGCCGTTATCTGGTTCTGTTGGCAAAGATCCAAAATAAAGTTGACAAAAAAGAGGACGCACTACTTTCCCTACAAAGAGTAAGTGATGCCATTTATTTGGCTCTTAGAAACTTTGTCATCTTAACACATTTTGTATCAGATGTTTTGCTTGAGAGACACCGAATAACATAAAATGAAGAAAACATTAAAAACATCAGTCCTCGTTTACTTGTGTCTACACAGATGATGTCGATGCTAAGTACTGTTGTTGTGTATTTGCCGTCCATAGGCCCGGGATGTGCAGGCCAAGGTACTGAAGCGCGTGCAGTTGGAGCAGCCTGACGCTGTCCCCATGCAGAAACAACTTGCTGCTGAGATCTGTGCGGAGATCGCTAAACACTACACAAGTCAGAGAGGCTATGAGAGAGCAGTCAAATTCTACAAAGAAGCTCTTGTGTATTGTGAGACAGATCGCAAGGTCAGTGCAGCCGAATCAAAAACGTTCTGTGTACTTACTGCAGCTGTGCTTAACAAGCACTGGCATCTTTTTGAGGTCTCGCGCCTGCGTTTTCAAAATTTTGCGATTTTAGTTGTTGATAGTTTGATTTAAGCGGAGGGTCTGATTTATGTACTCTATATTGTTGGACCAAGAATTTTTTGTCACATCAGCTTCTTTACATGAATGCGCTCCCTGTTTCTAGGTGATGCTGGAGCTGGCACGGTTGTACCTCACTCTAGGCGAGGTTGATGCGTGCCAGGAGCAATGCAGCGTCATTTTGAAGAACGACCAATTTAATGAAGACGCAACTTTGGTTAGTTGTGTCTTTCTGCCAACACAATCGTGACCATAACCTTTTATAAATTAATATTAAGAACTAATTTCTTTCATATGCTTTTCCTTAGATGATGGCAGACATTATGTTTAGGAAGGAAGACTATAAGCAGGCAGTTTTCCATTTTCAACAACTCCTGGAACGAGAACCAGGTGCAAAAGGGCCACATTTCTCTTGTTTTTGTGCTGAATGTATATGTGAATTGATGATTGCCATTTTGTAAAAGGAAAGCATAATAACTTACACCTCTTGTGTCCAGACAACTACCCGACTCTTTCACGGCTCATTGACTTGTTGAGGAGATCGGGAAAGTTGGAAGAAATCCCGAGATTTCTTGATATGGCAGAAAAACATTCTTCCAGGACTAAATTTGAGCCTGGGTTTAACTACTGCAAAGGACTTTATCTGTGGTAAGTTGCAAGAGAGATTTCTCAAGATAATAGGGATGTCCGGTTCAAGCTTATTGACAAAACTTGTGCTTTCTGCTCAGGTACACGGGAGAACCCAATGATGCTCTTCGACACTTTAATAAGGCGCGGAAAGACAATGATTGGGGTCAAAACGCTGTGTATAACATGATTGAAATCTACCTAAACCCTGACAATGACACAATCGGAGGAGAAGTGTTTGAGACTCTAGACGGTGAAATTGGGTGAGTGGATTTTAATTAACAGAGCAGAGCAGAAATCTCACACTTGACAATTGCGCCTAATGCTAACACGGTGTAACTTTGTCTCTTTCCAGGAACTCCACGGAGAAGCAGGAGTCAGAGCAGCATGCTGTGAGAACAGCTGAGAAGCTGCTGAAGGAGATAAAACCCCAGACACCAGGCGGATACACACAGCTCCGCATCCTGGAGAACTACTGCTTTCTGGCGACTAAACAGAAGGCCAATGTAGAGAAAGCCCTCAATGTTTTCACAGAGATCGCAAACAATGAGGTAAGTAAACTCCAGATGGTGCACACGACTTACATCACTCTCTCTTGTGTAAATATACCCACACCAGGAGCTTTGCATTATTTTAGGTTCCCTCTTAATGCCAGCCACATCATTTGGTCACAAATTGCATAATAAACTGTTTCAGGCTGAATTTCCATGGCTTATGCTCATAATTGTGTGTATGGTCATGCTGTGTAAGTTTTCTTACATCATGCTGAAGTAAATGTTGTGGTCACATTCATCCCATCTCATCGAAATTCTTTGGTTCAATTCAATTCAGAAAGACCATGTGCCAGCTCTGTTGGCCATGGCAACAGCTTACATGATGCTAAAACAAACTCCTCGAGCCAGGAACCAGCTCAAACGCATAGCTAAGATGGACTGGAGCATTGCTGACGCCGATGAGTTTGAGAAGAGCTGGCTGCTCCTGGCAGACATCTACATCCATTCGGGGAAGTATGACATGGCCAGTGACCTCTTAACAAAATGCCTCAATCGTAACAAGGTCAGCCTGGAATTAAATCAACACACTTCTATTCACAGCTACCATTTTTTTCCCCCTTTTTTGACATTTTGTGTTTCTTTATAATGCAGAAGCTGACTTTTATGTAAATTTGCAATTGCGCTTTTTTCCAGTCGTGCTGTAAAGCTTATGAATATCGAGGCTACATACAGGAAAAAGAGCAGGCATTCCGTGATGCAGCACTCAGCTATGAAATGGCTTGGAAATATGGAAATCGGACAAACCCAACTATTGGTATGTCGGCTGAAATCGCATGTCCAGTTCTGTTTACAAGGACAAATATTTCCAACATTAAATGTCTGCTTTTATTTTAGGATACAAGCTTGCTTTCAACTACTTAAAAGCAAAGAGGCACGTTGATGCCATAGATGTGTGTCATAAGGTGAGACGCCTTGTGGGTGTTTTCAGTTTAAAATCCTCGATATGTTTTTTTTTTATCCTGTGAGTCACCTTCATTTTTATCCACAGGTTCTGGCTGCTCATCCAAATTATCCAAGAATGAGAAAGGACATCCTGGACAAAGCTCGCGCTGCACTGAGGTCTTAGTGTTGAACCCGTGAGAGAGATATGAAACCACTGTTTCAGTAATGAAACGGCTTAGCTTTGATTGAATCCACTTTTATTGTTTGGATTTCACTGTCAAGTTGAAATTGTGCAGCGATTCGTCTTATTTCTTCGGGAAGGCCCTTAAACACGCTGCTATGTGCATTTTTTTTCCCCCTCCCTCTGCATATGAATAGTTGGTTGCTGGCAATTCAGAAAGATAACACAGTGCAGACATTCAGGCAAATGAAAGCATTTTCTTTTCTTTCTATCCTCACAAAGGCAGACACAAAGCACCTAGAAATGGGTTTGGAGCGTCGGAATAAGAAGGGATGCCTTAAAGAGCATTTAGGCTTTATTTATTAAAAAATGTTTTTTTTAATCTGATACATGTCATGTGTGCTTTGTCTGTTCATGATATTTTACAGATTTGTATTTATCTTTTCATGGATGTCAAACATTTACATCATTCATAAATAAACGTATTTAGATATATGATGGTGCTCCTGTGCCTGATTTTTGTTTTTATTTATTATTCTCACAGAAGATTTCATGAATATATCAGTAAACACGTGTGTCCTGCAGACTGAGGGTGAACACACAGTTTTACATCCACACTGACAAACAGCCACAAGCGTGACAGGAATAGAGCGTTGGACACACAGTAGGCGAAGCATTTTAATGGACATAATAAAGTGGACGCCTGCCGTGGATAGGAAGCGCTGGGGAACACAGTGGCTACAGATGGAGTCACTGTGCGAGTCAAAGGCAGAAAGACTTCAAACTGGGCACCAGAGCAGACTCCCGGCGGGTGGACTCCGCGTCTTCTACTCCTGCAAGCATCCAACTCTCTCTGAGCACCGTCCGTGGTGGAAATCTGGGGAGTTTCAAGGATTAGACGAGCTGTAGGGCGCACCGGTGAGTGTCGGGTTCTTCCAACTTTTTTTTTTTTTTTTAACCAGCAGTAAGCGCAGACAGAATATTCTCATCCACGCTGAAAGGACGCGTAACTTTTTTTTCCTCCCAATTCTATGTTGGTGCGTTTTCAGTTTCTCTTCGTTCGCCCTGTGTGCAAGATGTGGCGCTTCTCAGAGGACTGATTGGACGCGGTGGGGTAGATCGCGTTCCTCCGTTATTTGTAACCCAGCAACTGTCCCAGTGAATGACCAGTTGAACAAATCCTGTTAATGACACCATTGCTGAATGTGAGCGGCTCCGTGGAGAGCAGACTCCAATATCCCTCCACGGAGTCACTGCACAGCACCTTTGCGCATTTGTCGAGGGGTTAAAAGCATAAAGGTTGTGAGTTCGTACAGTTGTAATTTTAAAAAAAATGTATCGTCTCATTTGCGTTCCAGGTATGGGTTTTTGATTGTGGATGTGTTACTTTGACACGCAGGAGTCCTGTTTGCGCAAGCGCAGCCGTGCGTCACCGCCCTCTACCTGAGAGGAGCACACCTGGATCCAACGAGACGGAAGTTTAGAGAGATCCGAATCTTTTTTTTTTTTTTTTTTTTTGTCTCCACACGAAGTTACTTCGGATTCCAAGCTGGCAGGCAGATGATCTCCGCGTAAAGCAGGATGCCACTCGTTGGATCTTTCGACAGCAGTTTAAAGGACTTCGTCGATCTGAACCTGTATTTCAGCGACTCATGGTACGTGGTGTTTTCTCTGAAGGAATCCACAGCCGAAGCGGTTGGCTGATCTCACAAGCCGATTTTAATTCTGTGATTTGTAGATAGCACTTTAGGGCTTCACGAGGAACTGCTACACACGCTCAGAGCTTCACACAACAACAAACACTAACACCACAAACAGTACAAGATAGAAATGTGGTCAAAGTACAAGATGTTAATGTAACATGGAAAACAGTGTGTTATTGTGCTGCCTGTAGTTTTTCCTGATACTCTCTCTCCAGTGTAATCACGTGAATGTAATCAACTTTAAACATGTGAATTTGTTGGTCTGTTACAGCTGAATTTCAGTCCAGAGCCAGCCTGCTCTCCATTCCACAAGGATGGCAACTATTCGCAGAGTGCTGCGAAGGCGATTGCACCCACTGAAACTGGCCATAGTTGCCCTTCTCTTTGTTACATTTGTGTTCTTCATACAATGGGAAGCAGGGGGCCAAGGCCAGCAGGAGGACCCCTGGCTGAAGGAGATGGCGGTGAAGCGAGATGCCATGCTGGGGATGGTGATGGGAGCTGTCAATAACTTCAGGGATGCGATGCCAAAGATGCAGATCATAGCCCCTGTACGGCAGCCGGACAAACCGGGCAGCATGTCCTGTCTGCCGGGACGCTACACCGCTGCTGAGCTCAGGCCGGCTCTGGAGCGGCCCCCCCAGGACCCTGTGGCTCCTGGAGCTGCTGGGAAACCTTTCCACACAGACTCACTGAGCCCCAAAGAGCAGAAGGAGAAGAAGAGGGGAGAACAGAAACACTGCTTTAACCTGTATGCAAGCGACCGCATCTCTCTGAGCAGAGATCTGGGTGCAGACACAAGACCACCAGAGTACGTCAACCTCTACTGTCTTCATGGTTTTGAGAAACCTGTGCAAAAGAATGACTAAATTATTAGTACAGAGTCTGTAAGAAAGGAAAACTAGATCATTGTGTTAATGGGAATAGTTGAAACGCCAAACGTTCAATTAATTTAACAACCTAATACAGTCAATTAAAAAAAAAAAAAAAAAAGATCATGTAATTGTGCCACCTAGTGGAAGTAAATGCAGCTTTGGTGCTGTATGCAGTTATCTACATTTCCCTTTACTATTTCATGAATAGATGCACTGGTCCAAAACACAGAACAATACCTACATAGGTTGTTGTGATACTAATGTCGTAATGCAACCCAAACAGGTTCCTCATATTTGCTGAAGGGGACAATGTCAGACAGAAACCACAGAGATGACTGTTATGACTAGGATTTATTTCAAGTGGCCACATTCAGAAACAAGAACACCTTTATTTGGCTAATTACAAAACATCCAAGTATGTGGAAGAACCAGTACATGTCAGCATGTAGTCGGCACAAAGCGCAGACATAATGCCTGTCCATGTACTGCTGAATTACAAAGTCTCTTCCACTCTACTGTGGCAGGTATTTCAAAGGCTGCCACACATGCAGTGTCACAGCTGAAATAGATTCCCCACAGGGGAGAGCCTGTAGATGTAATAACTAGACTATTCTGGCACTCAGGAACCATACAGCATAGTCAGATCTTTGTGCTCTTTTTCTTTCTCCATGCAGATGTATTGAGCAAACCTTCAAGCGATGCCCCCCCTTGCCGACCACCAGTGTGATAATTGTGTTCCACAATGAGGCTTGGAGCACTCTGCTGAGGACAGTATACAGTGTCCTCCATGCCTCCCCAGCCATTCTCCTCAAGGAGATCATCCTGGTGGACGACGCCAGCACGGACGGTAAGAACTCAATGGGGCCCCTTCAGGATGGCCCTGCTCATTTTTGGGTTCGATTTCATGCAGCTCGTTGGGTGGGCAGCTCTTTGTGTGCCATGCAGAGAGGAGCTCCCAGCTCCTTCTGTGGCCCATGAAGTGGGTTACAACAGGAAGCAAAGGGGCTGCTAGTGAATACTTTCCTAAGATTAGAGGTAGTTGTGCTTACAAAATGAGTCAGAGGTAACTCTTGTAAATAGGTCAGATGTTGGAAGCAAACAAAATGCTGGAGAGGACAGAGGTTTCAGGGAATCAAGTCCATCTGACACTTAAACAGTTATTCATTGAGAGCAGACCACAGAAATGGACAACAGATCTCCTGACAGCCAGCCCTGTTGAAGATGGAAGGAGGACAGCTTTATTTTAGTTGTTTTTCTTGTCTGTTTTAATCATATTTTCCAGGCTAGGTTGTGACTGTCTTCTGTTTTGCACTGAGACAGTCACAGAGTTTTTACAAAGCTGGTTGTTAGAATGTTTAATGTGCAATAGATAAATCTTTCTGACTTTGAGTCTGTGTCTAATGAATATCCTTTACTTTCAGATGTGTTGAAGGAGGACTTGGATGAGTATCTGAAGCAGCTGAACATTGTGCAAGTCGTCCGGCAGCGAGAGAGGAAAGGACTCATCACTGCTCGGCTGCTGGGTGCCTCCGTGGCCACCGGTGACACCCTCACCTTTCTGGATGCCCACTGTTAGTCCATACCGCTGATGTTACTCACATAATGAAACTGGTTACCACACCCTTGAATACACGCAAGCAGCTTCTGAATGCAGTGTCTGCTCCTCTTAAATGCCAAGTCACGGCTGCGTTGTGCTTCCGTTTTACAGCCAACAGTTTGTCGTTATGGGAGGAGTATGATGCATTGTTCTGTGTGTATGTATCACCAGGTGAATGCTTTAATGGCTGGCTGGAGCCTCTGCTGGCGAGGATAGCCGAGAACTACACTGCAGTCGTGAGCCCTGATATAACCACGATTGATCTCCATACGTTTGAGTTTATGAAACCGTCCCCATACGGCCAGAACCACAATCGGGGCAACTTCGACTGGGGCCTGTCTTTTGGCTGGGAGAGTCTACCGGATCATGAAAAGCAAAGGAGGAAAGATGAAACATATCCTATCAAGTGAGCGAAAATTGTGCATAAACATAGAATACATAAACCTTATTTGTGCGTTGGAAGTCTTTAAAACCCTTTTACCAAATCTATCTGCAGGACTCCCACATTTGCTGGTGGGCTGTTCTCCATCTCAAAAGAATATTTCTACCATATTGGAAGCTATGATGAAGAAATGGAAATCTGGGGTGGCGAGAATATCGAAATGTCATTTAGGGTGAGACCATCTTGCCAATCTTTTGATTTATTACTCAACCTTTCACCCGCTCCAGTATCTAAACTGCTACCTGCGTGTCATTATGCATCTGTTTCTGCCGTTCTACCTTTAACCTGCAGGTGTGGCAGTGTGGCGGACAGCTGGAGATCATCCCTTGCTCCGTCGTCGGTCATGTTTTCCGCAACAAAAGCCCACACACCTTTCCCAAGGGTACACAAGTGATTGCACGCAACGAGGTACGGCTGGCCGAGGTCTGGATGGACGAATACAAGGAGATCTTCTACCGGCGCAACCAGGAAGCTTTGCAGATCGCAAGAGATGTAGGTGCTGCTGCTGGCTCGGATGTACCTTTTGAAATTCCACATTTCTGTCCTGTAATCCTTTCAAATGTTAAACTCGCTGTTTTTCAAAGAACAGCAAATTGCTCAGCCTCATTATTTTTCAGCTTCTCGTGGCTGCATGTAAGTGTTTTTAAAGCAACTCATTATTGCTCGCTTTAGACAAGTTTGAACAAATCCAGCTCCTGTCCATGAATTGCATACAACAAGCATTAAGTGTGATTATGACTTACTTAACATCCTCTGCCGGGGGAAGGCATAGAATTACGCTCGCCGGGAGATTCGGGGCCTTTGACTTTTGTAATTCTCAATACGTGAACTCTGTAGATTTAAAGCGCAGTCTTCGAAATGGGAGGAATTAGATCAGCTGTTAGGGGATGAGAGCTGTTAACTGAGAGAGAGAGAGCGAGAGAGAAAGGGGCCTCGAGGAAGTCGGCTCTGGTAAATGGCACCGTCTCTCCCAGCGTTTCCCAACATGTGGTCCCATAGGGGCCATAAACATTTCCCTCACGGCTATACCTCACAGAGTGGGCCAGCCCCTCTCCCGCTGGCTTCAAACAGACAAGCAGCCATCAACTGCCTCGTGGAATCCGCTGCAGCAGCTATCAGCGGCGCGGTAGTGTGAGCAGCATCCTCGTCATTATAGTGAGGACTCTCATTATTTAAGAGCATGAGGTGCCTGCAAATCCTTTTAAATGTGCCGTTACACTTCATTTCAAAAGGAACAGTGATTAAACACTTGTCTGTAGTTAATTTAACAAATGAGTCATTAGAGCACTGGAGCACAGTCTGTCGCTTCAGACACGTAAAGTGATGATAATGATGATAATTAGAGCAATATTACAACTAAAATATCTTAAGTGCAATACTATTATTTTTATTTTAGGTTATATTTGTTTTTTTTGCAGTGGATTTGTGTGTTGTTGTTTTCTGTAATTGTGTGACAGTTCAGGGCGGCTCTGTTTTTTATCAGTCACTCGGTCAGTCCACCACTTTGGATGGATTTCCCTGCAGTTCAGCGCAGAGCTTCTCACTCTTGGGTGAATTCTAATAACTTTGGTGATCCCTTGACTTTTCAAATTAAAACCCCCAAATAGTTGCTGAGACTTCGGTTTATGATTTAATATCTGTGAAACCAACGACTTTCCCTTTGGCTTCAGCTGTGCAGTAAATCCACATTAGTGCTAATTGGAAAATTATAGTGTTGTAATAAGTTGTTGAACAAGGTAAACACCATACCTACTAAACCTCAGCATGCTGGCACTCATTCATTTTGAGAGTGTTGGCACATTGGACAAAATTATTAACACATTTTAGTGCTGAAAGTCTTGTTTTTCTTTTTTTGTTTGTTTTTGTGTTTTTGTTTTTCTGTTAGGGTTCGAAGTTTAGCACTTAAACTCTTGAACTTTTTCTGTTTTTGTTTGTCTTATTGTGTTTTTTTTTTTTTTTTTTAAATGGCTTTATTGTATCCCAAACATTGTTTTTGTCAGATATCTCAGGACAGCTATTAATAGTAAGAAGACAAGATGGGCTGTAAATTAGCGCAATGAGCCTCCAACATACCTGCCGTGTGCTTTGAGAAACAAAGTAACTTTTTTTTGTTTTCCTGCCTTTCATTATTCTATCAGAGGACTTATGGAGACATCTCCAAACGCTTGGAACTCCGTTCACGGTTGCAGTGCAAGAGCTTCTCCTGGTTTCTGAAGAATGTGTACCCAGAAGTCTTCATGCCTGATCTCAACCCACTCCGCTTTGGCGCAGTAAGATCACACACCCCTCCACCAGCTCTCTGTCTCTCTCTCCCTTTCCAAACCTCACAGCTCTGTCTAGCCGCTATGGGTTTCCACTTAGGATCTCCAGAGGGTACAGAGCGGTTCCAATTTAACACCACTGAAAGCACTCCAGAGGCTAAAGTTGTTTGAACAGCTTGCACTGGATGTTAGTTTTACATTTTGTTTCCTCTCGCTTCTCTCCCCTTCCCTTCTCTTTTTCTGTAGGTGAAAAATGTGGGCAAGGACTCATGTCTCGATGCAGGACAGAACAATGATGGTGGGAAACAGCTGATCATGTACCCGTGTCACAGTCAAGGAGGAAACCAGGTCAGTAAGAAAGGGTACCTTTATATCACTTTTTGACCCAAAAAAAAAAAAAGACTTTAAGCACATTGATTGATGCCATTTTTTATGTTTCCTGTGCTGTAGTATTTTGAGTACTCCACACACCACGAGATCAGACACAACGTTGAGAAGGAGCTGTGTTTGCACGGGACAGAGGGGGCTGTGAAGCTGGAGGACTGCCAGTATAAGGGCAGAAAAACATCAGTTGGAGCAGAGCAAAAATGGGAACTGAAGGATGTGAGTTTGGTCTTTTGCATTTCCTGCACATTAATTAGTGATATCAGATGGTCGTTTTGTTTTTTTAGGAAAGTAATAGTTTTATGTTCTTTTCCTTTAGAACAAGTTATTCTACATCCCAGGATTAGACATGTGTCTGAGTGCCCGTCACAAGCATCCCACTCTGGCTCACTGCAACCCCTCAGACAGACACCAGCAGTGGTCCTTCGTCTGAGAGCGCAAAATACCACTTTACAGATAGCTACTCTGTATGCCAGGGCATACTAGGACATGTGTACACTGTACTGTATGCAGTTACCATGCAGGGTTTTTTGTTTTATTTTTAGATTCATGATCGTATTGAGTCTTAATTTATTTTTATACATAGAAGAACTGAACTCCTGCTGCTGCTGCTGCTGCTGGAAAGTATGAACTTTGGAAGAAAACCACAGTGTGCCATTGCTGGAGGGAAGCACGAGATTCTTGGAACAATGAAGATGCGCTGTGTTGACAAGTGCCTCCTGTGTGTTTGAGACATTTTCACTACTCCAAGTCCTCACAACCAAAACATGTAGTATTGGGTGTTAAAGCCAACACTAAATATTTTCCAGTGTATATATATATGAATGTAAAAAGAAAAAAAAAAAGAAGAGAGCTGATCATGTACATTATAAACAAGGATTCAAGCTGGAAACACAAAAAATCCCAAATGTTACGCACCAAAGAGACAGACAGTGAAAACCTGAAACACACTAATGTGACGTGCATTCAACATGTATTTCCTAGACTCCAAAACCTCTTGTTCGGTACCGTCCAGTGCCTTGGATGTAATTTAATTTCTCCCTGAGTGGGAAGGTGGTTGGGGGATGGGTGATGGTGTGCTGAGGCTGTAGAAAGTTTCTGTTGATACAGAACTTTGGCTTCTCTAATGCTGTGATCAAAAGGGACTTAAGACTTTTGCAATATAAAAAAATACATAAGAAAGAGAAATGGTTACATACCAGCCTGTTTTTTTTTCCACTTGAGGGAACTGACATGAGTCTAAAACCTATATTATGTACAATTAGAGCAACACAGTCGACCCTTTATTAGAAACACATGCGGTAAAGCATCCTAAGTGAGGTTTAACTTGAATCGTTCTTAATCTCTTTTTGCTGCAGTGTTTTCCCGTATTATTTAAAAGCTTATACTTTAAAAGGGAACTTTTGTATTTAAAATTATTGCACCCATTGAACTCCACGTGCTGCTGAAATGCCCGAAACTCTCCCTGTGCATCGAAGCACGAGTCCACAAATGAATTTCTGGTGCAGGCACTAGTGTTTAGATGGCTGTGGAATACTGTAAATGACTTTGTGTTTGTGACTGGGGTGAAGAGCAAGTCAAATGTGTCTGTTTTCCTCGAATGGAAACTGTCTTGTGTCGTCAGAGTGCCTTCGTGTAAAGATGTGTTATTTGGAGCTCAATAAAATCAGTTGGGTAGTACTCACAGCTATTTCCTCATTTTTCCTCGCGGTCTGCAGAGGGCGCTTTGCACTCAGACATCACTGAGCTTCACAACGCCAACTTTAGACTCACACAAGGGTGTTTTAGTAACAAGCTTGATGCCGTGACGTGACGTGTGCGTAAATATGAGAATAGATCCCCAAGTGATTTAGATCACAAAAGAAATTTTAATAAAATTTATTTCAAAATCATGTTAAAATGAAACGACTGAAAATGAAGTTGGCTCTATCTACAGTCCAAAACCAAACACATTGAAAAAATCTCAACCATTTTGTGCAAAACGTATGCATTTCACAGAATATGAAATAGAATTAAATAAATCAGGCACATGAAGCTTTACAACTCACAACCAGCATGAAACAAAAGACAGGTTTAAGATAGTGAAGCAATTTACTCAATACAGACTTTTAGTAAACCACAATAAATACACATTTCAATATATCATTCATAATAAATACTGGAAAATAAAAACCAAACACAGGATTTCTAACTGGATGCAGTGTCGTTGTATCTAGCCTTCTCACACTGTATGCTTTGGCACAAGTAATCCGTACTATAGGCTATGTCGATGCCACTGATTGCCTGAAAGCAGTCTGTACACTTCCTATGTCCCACAGAAGCGGCATGAGAGGTCCCAGCTACTCAGCAGTCACACCAAAACCACCAAAACTCCGGTACTGAACCTTCTGATTTTAATGAAGTTTGTAGATATTTGCAAGCTTGGAAAAAGGGGCAAATATCTGTATTCATGCAGGAGCAGAGAGCTCAAGAACTTCTACTTCACTAAATTATTGCAGTCCCCCCATTGGTTGAGCAGTCGCCTCAATTTCCTTTGTGTCAGTAATTTTTTTTATAAATTTGTGTCAAAAGGTTATTTACAATTTTTTGGTAAACAGTTGTCATATCTGGCTGTTGAGTGATTTTTGATGGCTCACAGGACTCAGGAGTCGTTATCTGGCTTTTTACTACTCATTAGTAGAAACGTGTTTGAACATAAGCTTTGATTGTCATCCTTGAACATTTGTTTACCCCCACGTACAGTTACTACGACTGCGGTAAATTTTATCGAATGATTCCAATGGTGCTTTAAAACAAATATTAAGTACCGTGACCGTCAATAAAAGGCTATCTTAGTCCACTTTGTTAAGGATTTTCTCTGAAAGCCTGTTAAAAACCATAAATCTATTGCACTTCATTAGAACAAATCAATATCTTTATGGGATCCACATAAACAAACATTTTAGTTGTTAGATAGAGGAATGTAGCTTATACTGCATTCAAAATCAGATATCCTGTAACCAGTGCTGATGCGTTAGTTTGTCCTCAGAACTGATCACCGTTCAAATTAGGCTAAATATAGCGTCATCTTGACTATGATCAATCATAGAGGTTCTCATACTTCTCTGAGATATGTCAAAGTAATGCTTTATTAGTATCCCTGTGTCAATGAAATGCTTCAAAGAATAGATTTTCATTTGTAGCGACACATGCTAATTGCGTTACTGTCGTGGTGACCAGGTGGGGCGTGAGGGGGACAAGTATTCGTCATTTAAAACCAACTGCATGCCACTGGACCCCTACACATAAGTGCAAAAGGCTGTGAATTGATTTTGACTGTACTCCAAACATACAAATAAGAATTCAGGCTTTTTCATGCTTTCCAAAACCATAGAAAAGCATATAATTGTGACAAAAAGAAGAAGAGAAATATACATTATGTATAGGGCCTACAACACATTTTTTTATAGAAAACAATGGCATTTTTTCCCCCCCGAAATGTCACTGAGATTCCCAAAACAGCATGCGTATTGTTATCAAAACATTTACAATATATAAGTATACACATAATTCAGAAACAATAAATAAACTGACGATAAACCTTTTTTGCACATTTGACACATACAGTAGACATAGAAAAGTTCCATCTACAGTACAATATCTGCTTAAAACTAGAACTTTACATCTGAAATTACAGGATACATTGCACAGCATGATGTGAATTACGTTTGGATGTTTCTTGATCTGTTCCATTTTGCAGTTAAGCACGCTGTAGAGGAGAAACCTTCAAGAGTGAATAGTTCGCTAAAACCATTTCCATAATGAACCTATGGCTTCATAGTTACAGATGAGAATCTAGCACGTTGCTGTAAATTGCTTTGAAATTTTAAGGTCAGATAATGCAAAAAGGCCATGATCATGTCCTCTTGGAATACCACTTGGTCAAGCTCAAGTAAAGACGTAATAATGAAAGAACACTTAAAAAGGTGAGGCCCACTAAATGGCTGTGACCTCGGGGCAATGGTCTGGTAAAGGGAGGTTCTTAGTAGTGTTTGCTAGTAAGGTCAGATCAGAATGTCCGTTCAGATTTGACTCTTGCGGCGGCTGTTCAGCTGTCATGCAGGAGCTGTGACTGCTGTAGGAACCCTGATTGTTATTGTTCAGGTAGTTTTGAAACTGTGTCTGGTTCTGGTTCTCCGGCTGCTCCGCAAACGCTGCCTTGGACAACACCTTCTTCTTCTGCTCAGGTGTGTAGCAGGTCAAAGGGGCGGCAGGAGCATTACTGGTCAGAGTGAAATGGTGATTGGCTGTGTACTGCTCCTCAGGCTGATTAGAGTAGTCCGTGTACTGCTCGGCAGTCACGTTGAACGGTCCCTGGGCCACGCTGCCGTTGGTCGTGCTAACTGGATCTTGGAATGCTAAGGCTTCCCCGTAGGGTTCACTGGGTTGGCTGGTTTGTCCGTTAGAGACGGCGCTGGAGCTCCCCAGCTGATAGTACTCAGCCGAAGAGGAGTTCATCAAGTAAGTGTTTCCATTTATGTGGTTGTCATGTGCCACAGAGCCATCGCTGTAGCACAGCACAGAGGACAAGGGCACCACTTCAGTGTGAGAAACTGCCGGGGTTGTCATATCGTCCTCGAAATTCTCAGACTTCTCTTCATCCTCGTCATCCCCCTCCTCGTCCTCAGAGTCGCTGTTAGCCAAGCTCTGCGTGCTGGAGTCAGACAGCCCGCTGCAAACGCTGCTGCTGTCCTCCTCATCGTCCTCATCTTCCTCATTCTCCTCTTCCTCCTCGTCGTCTTCCTCGTCCTCTTCCTCGTCGTCGTCATCTAGCGGCTCCTCCATCTCGTCCGCAGTCTGCAGGTGCATGCTGGTCGTCTGGGGCACGGCGTCAGACAGGGAGTACTCCAACCTGTGCTGCGTCTGAGCGAAAGGGTTTCCGCTTCCCAGGTCGTTGGCTTCACCACGGTAACCGTTGTTAGGGGACGGCTGCTGCTGCTCGCGGCTCTTCTCCAGCTCGAGCTTCATGATAGTGTGCAAGAAATGGGTTCGAACGCGGATGGGGTTAAACTCCACTCTTCCAGTTGAGTTGCTGCAACCTTCTTTAGTGCAGCCACATGGAAATGACATACGATCCACCTGAGGAAAGCAGAGCGTTCACTGTGCAACTCATTTTACATATGCAGGGTGATAATTGCATGTTTTAACATAATAGTTAAGGCCATCCTTTAATGTACTGCATCCTGATGTGTGTGTGATGATGATGTGAAGATGTGGGGTTTACCTGGCACTTGATCCCTGCGATGCTACAGGCGCAGGTCTCTGGGTCACAGAAAACTCTGCAGTCACAGCCGCAGTCCTCTCTGGACATGCGAATGGCCCGGAGTTCATGTTTCTCTTCCACATCAATCTTCTTTACCCCAGAGGAGCGTAGCAGCGCGCGGCGCTTTTTAGTGGTGAGAGGCTGCAGGAAGAAGTACTCGTCTACCTCTGTGTTGTCCAGATCAATGTCATCATCTGAAATGTCCTCAGCTGTGAGTGTGTTGGCCTCCTCAGACTCCACTGTGCCATTCTTCGTCAGCTGAAAAGAAGATGGAAATACATTCAGGCGCTTTGGTGATAATAAGCGAACAAAGAGCTGAACCCTAAAGACTGAAGTGGTTTTGTTTAAACAAGCACTCATTCAGGCTGAATTCTTTACAAACCCGATTCCGATATCTTTTGAATAATGCTTTTAAAAATCAGCCGTACAGAACGATTTACAAGTATGATTTTTTTGTTCAGAAGCAGATTACAAAGCTTTTTACCTTGAGTTTAATTGAATTGAGTTTCTCCTCCTTCAAGTGGTCTCTCAGCATGTCTCTGTGGATCCTCTCCTGCTCCAGGGCAAAGTCACCCAGGGAGTACTGCCTGACCCAGCTGTGCCTGTTGGACATGCCCAGCGTGCTGCCTCCCTGGCTGGGCACGCTGGTGAAGCCCTGCCGCCGGCTGAAGTAGTACACTGTCACATTCTCAAAATGCACCCTCCTCGTCCGCAGGCGCTTCTCCCTCTTCAATATAGAGTCAGCTGCAAAGAAAAAAAGGGAATGTTGTTTTCTTTTTTTTTTTTTTCCAAGTGCTACCCTGCATGCTCTTGTCATTTTTGTTGTTAAATGTTTTATGACAATTCATTAATCCCATGTGGAAAGAATTGAAGCTCCACACTGTGTCAAGAGCATTTCAGCACCGCCGATTCTTTAAAATCATTTATATGTTCTTTTATGTCGGAGCAGAACACTTTTACAGCCATGTAAAGCCTGTTAAGATAAGTGACATTTTATAGCAAATGTGGGACACAGTTTTTTAGACAGCATTGTCCTCAAATGCCTGAAATATGAGGAATCCTTTATTGCCAGCTTTACAACAAGCTTCTACATATGTCGAACTTAGCGCAGATTTTTCGGAGAGGTTTTCGTCACATCTGCGCGCTTCCGCTTGGCGTGCGAGTCCTCGCCGTGTCTTTTTATGGAGAGCTCTGCAAGAGAGAGGTGCAGAGAGGAGGGCAACGCTGGAGCATAAATAATCCCCTGCCTAGCACAGAGATGAAGAGCGCTGGTTCACAGAAGCAGTGTTCCCAGTGTTCACCCCCCTTCCTCCTCTCCCCTCCTCTACCAGACAGACAGGACAAATAGAAACCATCTGGTTCCAACAGCTCTCCACCCCATGCAAGAGGGACAATGCGTTTCATTAGAAATGTAGAGCTGTCAGACTGAGGCTACTGAGCCGAGCTGACTTTCATTATCTACAAAGAGAAATGGAAAACAGCTTGTTTTAGGTGTCAAAACAATTAACAGATGTTAAGGCCTGTGTAATCAGATGTGTATGTCTATATGAAAAAAAAAAACCCAAAAGGCGCTCTTTTGCTCCTTTACAGACTTTGACCTGACATTTTTTTTTTCAGACGCTCTAAAAAAAAAAAAAACACACATTACAGATGGTTTTTTTTTTTCCTCCTTTCCCCAACACCACAGGAAGAGATGTAAAGTAAAGCCACTCAGGACTTAATTGTTTCATCTGCCTGCCAAGACAGTGAATCACTGCATGCACATGTCACATCACAGGAGCGCAGCCTTCGTAGCGCACGGCTCCCTCGCTGCCGTTAGCCGACCTTCTCGAGCCCCCAGCTACCAGCGGCTGCAGCTGACACAGAGGCAAATAGCAGCCTCCAGGGACTCAGCACCACACTTGTGTCTCTAAGCCCTCTCTCCACAGGGAGGGGGCCCTGCGTTTGTCATTCACACGAGCAAAACACACAAATTTAGTGCTGACATTTGGTGTGACGTAAACCAAAAAAAAAAAAAAGGGAAAAAACACCTTTTGTTTACTTGGCTTCAATATTTTAAAATTTGAAAAATTAAATACCAAGGAGCCAAACTGTGCAGATACACACAAACGCACACATGCTGTCTAAATGCGACTCCTTTCCTTTGCGCTTTAGGAACACATCATTGAGAGTTTTTTGTAGCAAGCATCTGATTTCCTTCAATATCCCCCAAAGGATTAGTAAACTACTACTGTACAATCGATGTCTTTCAGTCTCATTTCTTAAATACAAAGATTCACATATGCACTGTGTCCCTTATTAGAAATGACTTCAGGATCCTTAAGAACCTGCAGAGGACACATCTTTTGTGATTGGGGTCGTATTCTTAAATCCAGTTCAAGCCAAGAATTACTGTGAGATCTTTCAGTAACAGGCATCTTGAGGCATTTGTGTCGAACAAAGTAGAACCAAGCTTCAAAAAAAAATCTCAGTTTTGAGCTTATTCTGGGAAACCAAAGTGACATTTACAGATCTGCTCCATTTCAGCTGATTTACATCTGAAATGATGTCAAAATGCTGAATTAAAAGACTAGTTGATAGACTGAAAAGTAATCTGCAGTGGCGGTAATTTTTTAAACAATATGCATAATGTAAAAAATTTGCAGCTTTTCTCCATTTTAAATTATTGTAAACTCAGTATTTTATAGTTTTGTTCTGTTGGTTGAACAATACAAGACATTTGAAGATTGGGTTTTTAGATAAATGCGACAAGCAAGGCTCTACCACACATCTTATAGACCAAACACTGAACTGATTAGGAAGCTAATTCTTAATAATTATCAACTAGCCTTACCATCATCCCTAAATTTGAGTTTGCAGGGATATTTCATCCAAAATGTAGGGTTTAATTGGTTAAAACAGTGAGTTTGTGTTTATCTGCTGCACTCCTCTGAGAAAGTCGTACTTGTGCATGTACAGTGGAAGCAGTATTACACACACAGCTTGAGACTGCATCAGCTCATTCATCTGGCTGGGCCTGTACGCTGATGCTGCTCCTAATGAGGGAGGCTGCCTGTGCATGCTTCCCCTTTATTACAGCTCCACACTCTTAGCTTCACTCTGCCTCCTCTACTCTCTAACGCACAGCCACGACTGTAAATTCATATTATACTCCCTTATCAACAGACATGCAGATTTGTTTTCTTTGACCTGCAACCTGCGATGATTGTGAGCCACGAAATCCGGGCTGACTCCCATCTTGATTAAAAACCCCTTTCAGTGCTTTAGCTTTGTTTTCCTTGAGATGAAATGATGACATTAATCTTACTGTCAATAGCGCACATTTGCCACACGGAGCACAATGCGCGAATTTAAAAAGACACAGGCACTCACGGGTGAAAGGGCCCGAGGCAGAGGGGTTGACACTGTCGCTGCTATCCCCACTCTCACTGCAGGAGACCTCATCATCAGACTCCCGCACAGAAGAGCACGGGGAGGAGGAGGCTTCCACCTCCTCAAATTTCCTCTTCAGTATTCCGCTCATGGCCCGCCGCATCTGCACCTGAAACCGAAAGACAGCAGAAGGGCCACACATTATTTAATATCCAGTTTAGGGCCTTCATAATCCTCAACACACTCAATTAGCAACCAACGCAGACCCCCACCACCTCCACCACCACAACCACTTTCACTCACACACACATAGAATCTCTCCTGCTGCTATCCCAGCTCCCCGGCGTTCCCTGGGCGATTGATCACCTTGGCACAAAGAAGCAGAGAAGGAAGGAGAAAGCTGCTAATTACATACTACGTCTGCCTTACAGGAAGTTCATTTCTCTGTCTTTGATTGAGAGGCTGAAAGAAATGTCAGACTGGACCAACTCGTCTTTCGCTGCTACCTGTCAGGGTGAAATTATGTACAGTATATATATGTGTGTGTGTGTAATGTGCACAATATTAGGTGATTGCTTTTAATTGCTGCTACACCCATAGAGCATAAAAACGGTGAAAGAAAAATCAATCCACTGGCTTAAAATTTATTACACAGCAGCTTATGTGGAAAAAAAAAGAAAAAAAAAGAAAAAGAAGAACCAAGCTCCCTCTAAAAATAATGCAATAAATTCTGTAACGCATAATTATTGTGTGGGATATGGAAATGCGTTTTTGTAGTAGTGCACACACATAGTGATGTGTATTTCCCTGCTGTGATAAAATTATTCAAATGAAATTATATGTCTGTGTCAGGCTAGATGAGGAACAGGTGAAGCTGCTGTTGGAAGCATCATGACTGACATCTTGTACGTCTGTAATGAGCTTCTGTTGGGTCAGATGCTTCGTACAGAGGAGAAAAAAAAGAAAAGGTGAATGCAGCTACAGTCATTGCAAAGCAGAGTAAAAATCTAAACTGTGAAAGATCTTAGAATGTTACAACCCTACATAAATGCAGCCAATAATCGTGCACCATAAATCATCTTAATAACAGCAGAAATGGACCAATAGATGTGATGACTGCCACAGACCTTTCAGTGGCAGCTATCATAGAGCTGTCACAACGGTAGCTCTGCAGTGACAAGGTACAGCAACGTTATGCACGGTTCCTGAAAAATAAATCCCTGCATCTGCCTGCAGGTCCAGCTAAATGTTTGTGCTTAGCACTTTACACTTCAGCACAGCGGTTGTTGTAGCAGAAGTGTTACAGACCACTTCAGTGTCAATGGAGAGGGTCCATTAACTCCCCCTGAATGATGATGCAATTAGACAAATAAACAAGAACAAGCTCATCAGTCAAACATACTAAAACTAATTACCATTACACTGGAACTGGCTCGAACACTACTGCACTGCAACAGTATAATATGCCGATTGTGGCTTTTTTCCCCTTTGAACAATATCCTGCCATCATTGTAATGGGTTGTAGTGGTGCAGGACTTCATGTTAATCAGTACTCATAATATCAGACATTGTTGGAAAATATAGTGTTTTAATGTATGAAATGGCAGAGCCTTGTATTCTGACAGCAAGGCAGCAGTAGCTGGAACATAAAGTCACATTTCAAAATAACACAACAGTGCTGCAGTAGCACAGCAAGGATTGCTATGACTGGCAGCTTTTCCCTCACTGCTTTCTCTCTCAGAACCTGGATTCAGTAAAGACAGCGTGTATCTTCACCCAGTCCCACTCTGTCTATCTGCCAGAGCAGCTTGTGGGGGAGTTCCATTCACAGACAGCCACAGTGTTTCATCTGGGCTCCGCTATCAAGTCATTACAGATGCAAATGCTGCCTGAGAGACATGCTGCCTGAGAAAGAGGTGCAACCCAGAGAGGACTAGCGCTGCCAGCAAGCGGGTCATTGTTCCCAGGAGGCTGTGCTTGTTCAGTGCAGTGACATGGCACAGCCAGCATTTGGAGAAGCTCCAGAGTCAACAACTCTACCTACAACTAAGGAATGTGAGGCATCCTCCATCTGGGAGAAAGTGAAGGAGAGAGGAGTCAGTCAGGGTAACCTCATCGATTTGGAAGAGAAATAAGAGGCCGTATCCTGAACTACAGGGACATGTCTCTTAGATTCTGTAAAGCCAGTGCATGAACTGGCTGACGACAAAGTGAAGTTCGATCTACTCTCTCCTCTGAATGAGTACGACGAAGATCAACTGGGGAAGAAACACATTACGTAATATTTCGATAAACAGAAGCTGCTGATCTCACATCAAAAGCAAGAAGAAGAAGAAACTGATTTATTTCACAATCCACTTCATTTGTTGGCAAACAGAAGACGAAATTTCCAGCAGAAATGACCTGCGCAATTTTAGGCCATTTCCTAGCGAGGGTCCTAATTAGATACCATTGTTGGAAACCTATTTGTATGCTTAGCCCTTAGCTGATGCTGCACTAGGCTTTGATACCAAAAGTGGTTTCCATGGAGATTCTAATGTACTCTCACAACTAGTGCTTTCCCATATGGCCGTGTTTCCAGTGTTACATATGAGGACTCTCCACAATAAAGCACTGATGCCACAGCAAATTAGGTTAATATCCAAGCAGATTCAGTTCATGCGTTTGTACACCGTTTCTCCATCGTATTAATGCATTATCAGTTCATCTGCATTCTGTTATGACAGCAAGTTCAAATCTTGACACTGGATGGGCATGGCATCCTAAACCACAGTGATGTGGGTAATCTAGGGTGAACCTCTTTCATCGTGGCTAAATAAAAAAACAGAGATTGTTGCTCCCCTCCAACAGCTCTTTCTTTGTCTTCACTGTTGCCTTACCACTAATCATGGCTGGCCAGCATACTCTATGGTACAAGGGGAGAAAATCCCAGAGAAAATAATGCAACAAAAGCCAGCTTGGAAAGCCCCTCCCAGTGTTTGCCTCTATGTGCACACACACACATCAAATGTGGAAACCAACTCTTATCCTTAATCAGCTGTGCTCACACCACTGTAGCACACTTGCAATACGAATGCAGTTATTTCCCCCTCCACCTCCCTCCCCCCCCCAAAAAAATCATTCACAAGGTTTCCACGATCACAATAAGCCGATGTGACAACGCGAGGCTCAAAACACTCATCCCAAGTGATGCCAACAAGCCGATGGCATCTGGAGCAAGTCATGACACATCAATCCTACAGTGACCACATTACACTTCTGTGTGTGCCCTGGTCTTCACAGGAACAACTGACCTGTATCCACTGGCAGAGTGTGACTCCTTTCACCTCTTCTCACAGCAGTGCAGCCACACAATCACAAATGTGGCTATTCAAAAAAGGTGAAACATGATGAATAAAGAGATTCCCATTTTGTTTCAGTCCACTGACTTGCAGCGACCCCTGAGCTCCACGGGCATGAGAAAAAAGGGTGCAGGAGTGTGAGAGAGACTAGTAATTTTCCAGCTCTGACTGCACTGTCGGTACCATATGCTTTATTGTTGCAAGACGACAGTCTTTCTCACTTTAACTCGCTATCTGTCACTGTGTTGCTCTCTCTTTCTCTCTCTCCCTCTCTCTCTCTCTCTCTCTTCCTCTCTCTTCCTCTCTTTGGCCACACAAAGGCTCATTAGCTGCAGCCGGCTGAAAGGCAGGAGCCTGACTGGAGCAGAGTGGAGCAGAGCAGAGGCAGCCTGTGAGATCACATGGGTGGGATGTCTGAGAGAGAGAGTCAGGCGTGCCTCTGCTCCTGCTGTCTGCAGATATTTTTACCAACATGAGCTGGGGAGGGGAGGGGAGCAGGGAGAAGAGTGAGGAGGGAGAGGTATGGCGGGGGGGTGAGAAAAAAAAAAAGGAGAAAGCAAGATGTTGAAGAAATTGATGAGGGGAGGTACATGGGAGATGCAGGGCAGTGGGAAAATGGTCGGGGGGGGGGGGCAGAAATGCAGAGAGGAGGAGATTCAGAGGGGAATAGTGAAGGGGAGGGGGAGAGAGAGGGAGTAGAGAGGTAGAAGGGGGAGAGAATGGGGCAAAGACAAGGAAAAGGGGAACTATCTGATGCCAAGAACAGCACAAGAGAGAAATGAAGGGGGGGAGAATAACACCACAAAAAAAACAACAGAACATTACATATTATTCATACAGAAATGTGAGCAAAACTGACAATATAGAGGTCAACAAGAAAATATCAACATAAACTCTCTTTTCACAGGAAATCAGATTTGTCAGCACTGGAGTAAATGTGCTACTAACACTTCCTATGCCAGGAAGTTCTGCTGAAGAGTCAGTGAGGCCTCAGCTTGTGCAGTCAAACAGCCATGATATCATTCTTGCACTCAATTGGATCGTATGTCAACATAAAAGGTCCTGCACTTCCTCTTACAGGATAGCTTTAAGCCTGTAGGCTTATTTTCTGACAGCCAATGCAGCATTACTGTCATTACAAACACGTGGCAATTTCTGGGCACAAAGGCAGCAGATAATGTAGTCGGGAGGGAAAAAGTCGTGTTTCATGTATCCTAAAAAACAAAATGTTACAAAATCTACAACAAAAGGACAGACGCCTGATGGAAAAATGTTCAGTTTGTTCATTAGCAACACTCCACAATCCTCACATCTGCATATTTTATAGTTCTCAAATAAAAAATGGATTAAAGTATAAGAGATTTAAGGGTTTAAGTGTATGTTAGTTTATACAATGTCTGATATTGGCAGCTTTATGAGAAAGGATTTGTGTTGGTTCTTAAATGCAACCTAAAGAAAACAAATGCTTTTTGGCCCTGCAATGTCCTGCATCCTCACCAGCGTCCTCACTGAACCCCTGCTTGACGGCACTGCGCTCCATCTCTGGAGCCTTGTCCTCACACCACCCCTCTCTTATAACACCATCAAGCCACTAACACACATCAGGAAGAAGAAATAAGTTCAGCTGGTCATGAACCTTTAAACTTCACCATAAATTTTAAACAGCTTTTATAGCAAAATCACTCCAGGGTGAAGCCAAGTCCCTCTGCAGAGTATTTTATGAGGAAAATATTTCTTTATGTTCTTATTGTCTGTATTTCATCATTTTCTGACGACGCCACCTTACTGTGGAGTAATTTGGAGCTGCATTTCTACAAAGCAT